CTCTGCATATTATGATGGGTGCACATTCGTGACAAGTTCTAAAGTAGGATAAAAAAACTGTCCTGTACGTTCTTTCTCGCTCTTCACTGGTACACTAGGCAACATTGATCGAGACTGAAATCTGATATCAAATTAGTCTGCTACCGCAAACCTTTTCTTAAAAAATTGTTGGTAGTATGATGTACTAATCTGACAGTCTTTTTCTGCCCTTTAGTTTACTAAATTTTCTTTTTTACGTATGTCATCAATGAATGGTCACTTTCGAAAAGTGTTAGTTCAAATCACTGATTGACAGACGTAGCGAAATGTGGATCATTGAGGTTTGATCCAGTGGCTGGATGAAAACATGATGTCAGAGTGACCTAAAGATCCTGGGTTTAGTCTCTGGTGGGAGGGGGTCATGGAGTTGCAACGCTGAGGAGTATCATACTAGGACGAAACAGATTTCCAGTGCTCCCAGATCAAATAAATAGACTTTAAAATAATATGGCTTAACATCTTTCTGGGCCTAAACTGATATCTTCATATTTAATTCTTCTCATGGTGGTGCTGCTCAAATCAAGGTAAAACAGTTAGTTATCTACTATTTCCTTGAACTTAGCTCCCAACTAAAATGTCCTGGGCTGGGATCCTGCTATATCTAATTTATTAGGCTGGGCAACTGGGTGGTGGTATCATAAACACATTTTCATTTAGGTAGTTTATCTCATAGTCTATTGGTTGAGTTACTACTGCTATTCGAAGGTAGTGAACTTGACCCCAATAACATTTTCCGTTCATACATTCTCTGTCACAAGTGTCATTAAAAGTTTAAGAGGCATAGTGTATATTGTATGAAATTAGTCAAAGTATTTATTGTGAAAATTTGTTAATTGATTAATTTCCGTAAACTTCTCTACTTTTATTCAGAAATAAATTTTCTTGTGTTCAAGGTGACATCTGATCTTTATCACGTGGATATATACATATAATGTCTTCCTGTAACTAACTATTGTGTTTTTATGTGGGTCAAATTAATTTTTGGACATTCAGCCTCTTTTCTAGCATTATACATTTGTTTTTTCCTCATATTAAATTATTTTTTCGGCTTAGGGATTGAATTAATTTATTTTATCATGGATATTTCTATGTTTGGGGATACCTAATATTCCAGACATTTAATATAGTTTCTTCCCTAAGATACTATAAAGTTGAATACATATTTTTAGAAACAGTTGCAGGGCTATGGTTCATCATCGGTCTAGTTACTTAACTTTCAACTAATCACTCACTAGTCCGAACCCTATTCTACCTAGTGAGGTTCTTGGCAGAATCGGTTTGGCTAATTATCGACTGCATGAAATTTTAAGTGGTACAGCTTGAGAAACAGATGAACTACATCTTCAGTAGAAAGGGAAACAAATCAAATCGATCTGTTTTACCTAGGCAAATATTTCCTCACTTCACTAACAAAACTTGCGTTGAACAAACATTTGCATCGAACCAACCTATTTTAACGGGATATAACATTCTAGTTGTCACACTTCCTTCATCGGCTATATAATCCCCCCCCCCCCTTACAGCTGACTGTCTTAGTACTTTATCACTGAAGAAAAGTCAAGGTTAGTATTGCCAACCCAAGTAAAAGACATGAAGTGATTACAAGGTTTTGATCACAGATTTTTTCGTGGTATTACTCACCTATGGTGGAATCACCGTATGAGCAATGTGGAGGTCAGAGGAAGGGTACTAGGTGGCAAGATAAGCGATGTGATTCATGAGATTGGAAACTTTAGTCTACTAAGATTCTTTGAATTGCGTACTGCGTATGCCGAGTGACCGCCTACCTCAACGTGCCATGCTAGAGGAAGCTGGACTAGATTAGAAGAGGGTTCAGGGTGGCTAGATGTAGAAGTGATACCAGTCAATAAAGTTTCTGAACGGTCTCAGACATGTGGGGAGATACAGACTATCTGGCTAGGTAGGGTCGCAAAGAAGAAGGGAATGAATGGTTGAGGACTTTTAGTGACATGGCTGAAAATCGGTGACAATGGGACAGATGTATATACTGTTTGACATCTAAAGCTTGGATATTCGCACTGACCTGCATCTTCAGATTGTTTATTCTCACACACTCATGACAAGTATCTTGTTACATAACTGACATTTTCAAGGAAATGAAAAGCTGAAATAATTGTTCTAAAAAAGGTTATTTAATTCACAGCAGAAGTTAATGTATTGCAATTCAATTTTTCCGGGTCCTATATTTTTTCATTTCCCACTTCTTTCCCAACAGTATTTTCTTACAACTATGTTTAAAATCTGGTTACTTCGATCTAGAATTGTGTAGTAGGACATTTTAACTATGATTATACAGCTTGTTACCAGTTATAATGCGATATGAGTTGCTGGTCAGCTATGTGACGTTTTCATCCAGCCACTAAACTTCTAAACACTGAATCATGGCTTCGAATCCTGCTCCATCTATTGAGGCCTGGGTAACCAGATAGTATCGTTAACATTTACACTGCACGAACGTGCGTAAAATTGCTAAGTAGTACGTTTCTTTTCTCTTTCGCTATGTATATTTCCATCAATCTACAGGCGAAAACTGACAACTTGACAGAAGAGGCAGCGAAGACGGGACTTCAGGTGAACGTAGAGAAGGCAGAGGTGATGAAGGTACCCAACCAACAACAACAAGCTCCAATCACCGTCAACGGAAGAAACTTGAAGGAAGTAACCTCTTTCACCTATCTAGGCAGCATCGTTCCAACTGCAGGCGGCACAGCCGAGGACGTCAAAATCAGACAGAAGATCAGATGGCCAGAACAATGAGAATAAGCAACAAGGAACTCTGGCTGGTGACAAACCAACCAAGAACCTATTACCCAACAAATATGCAGAAGGAAGTGGAGATGGATTGGGCATGCACCGAGAAGACCATTCGGGGACATCACACGCCGCGCCGAGTCAACGAGTGGAACCCAGATGGGAAACGACGAGTTGGGCGTCCGAGGTGAGGTTGACATGGAGGAGATCGTGTAAGGAAGAAACGAGAGCTTATGGGCAGTCGTGGAGCTATGTTCAAAAGATTGCAGAGAAGAGAGTGGAATGGAGACGTGCTACTGAACCCCTACGTTACACTGGGAACCCAAGGGACAAATGATAATAATAATATGATCTTGTTTGCACGGGAATCATCGACAAGCTGGGGAATGTCAGCTCTTATATTAATACAACAATTATGTCGACAAAGGTAGAATGTGTCCGCTTGATTTCTAAAGCCAAGGCAGCGAAGTGTCTGAATACACAATGACGATGATGATGATAACAATATTGATTAAGAAAAAGTTTGTGTATAGCTTTCACCACTAGCTAGCTAGTTTTACAATCTTTCAGAACTATGTACATTCGATTCTTACCTCCCACCCCACTAATTATGAGTTCCATGTACTTTTTCAGGCTTTTGATTACTGTTTAGATGATTAGGTACATTTCGGCTTGATCGATTTCACAGTATTATAATACTATAGGTCTTAATAACGGTACATACCTTCAGTCTTCGACCTCGACCCTTCTTACTGATAAATTTTCAAGCTGAAAGTTGTGCGGCGGAGAACATAATAGAGTGAAGATGTCTGATAGTTGGTGGTTTTATAAATTTGAAGGTGATAAGTGTCTGGTGTATGCATTCCATTTAGATTTATTCAAGATGATCCATATTGGATTTGTTGATTTGATATACAACACAGAAAGTGATACAGTATTACCTACGTTTTGAGAAATTATTGCTCATAATCATATTATTGCAATCACACCGCTGATTTTTATATTCCTCTCACCTCATATTCTTTGTTTTTATTGGCAGTAAAATTCTCCACATCTCTGGTATGGGTGTTACGTCATTCCTATTACATGTTCTGGGTGTTGATTCGATGAACAAAGCTGTAGTAACCGATCCCCATCTCTCTATCCACCTAATTATATTGGGAATAAGTAAAGTGGTTTTATCCCACCCTATTGTGTAGTTATCTGTCGATGCATGCATTGAAATAGCCAAGTTTTCTTCTACATTACTGATCTTAATCAGGTCTGCCATTCTATATTTAGCTGAAATCCCATGTTCCGCTATTCTAATTGACCGCAATCGGTAAGTCTGACCTATGTACTTGGTCTGACATTCATTGCATAGGATTTGATAGAGAGGATTATTTTGCATAATTGGGATCTATCTGATCCTTAAGCCAGCCGCCAAAGCTTATCTCTGAGTGAGTTTGTAGGTTTAAATGCCACCCTTGTTCCAGCTTCATTGAGGATCCTACCTAAAGTTTCTGACATTCCGTCCTTATATTGAAACACAATGGAGGCTATGAACTCCTTTCTACTCGAGTTACTGTTATTATTTCATTTCTTGTGTTTTCGTCGAATATCTTAATAAACTTTGGAGGATAATTATTAACTATTAGTGCTTTTTGTGAGCTTAAGTTCCTTTTTTAGGTCGTTGCACTGACTAGTCAATTTTCTAACTCTGTCATTTAGACACTTGACTAAATCTGCCTTAACTGACATTGAATGAGATGACCTGAAGTCTAGATACCTGTTGGACGTTTGGGCAACTTTCCGGCTGTTGGTTCAAATTCTGCTACAATCCACGTATTCACTTCGCCTGGTTTCTCTATGGTTTTATCTCACCCATCCTATAGTATGGTTGTGTGTTAATGCATGCATTGCAATAGTCGAATGTTTTTCTACATTGTTGATTTTATCGGAGTCTGTCATTTTATATTTAGCTAAGTTCCAATGTTCAGCTAATTCTGAGGAGTCCTATACTAGTACAAAACAGCTTTTCACTGCTTCCAGTTTTTTGGTTGTTCTCTAGTTGATGTCAGTCCATGATGAATACCAACCTACGATCACAGGTCGTTTAGTGGAATTATTGTTTACTCACCCTTAGAAATCATCTATCATAAAATGTTTTTGTAATTCTGTCAATTATTATTATTGAATTTAAATTTTAGGCTCCTTTCTTAATTTACGTTGAAATATTATCTTGTGATGATGATCCATCAACTATATCCCTACCAAATCGTCCAATAACATCATCCAGTTCCAAGAGTTCAACACGTGGTAGAAATGATATTGAATCGAATTCACTCACCTCTTTCTCTGTTTATCCATGGAATTTGAATTCGCATACAGTAAGCTTTCATGAGTATTTACTATTTTGTAGTGAATGATTGTAAATCAATAATTAATGACTTCCAAGTTCTTTTGTTTTGTGTTTTCGTTTCATCATACTACTTTCGATACTTAAACTCTTATGTGATCACTTTCACCTAGAGTTGTTTTAATACTTGTATTTTATCGTTACTATACTGGATCAAATTGCGTGACCTTCTTTGGCAGATGAGTTCCTATGAGGATGTCTCGATACTGTTGGAATATTCATTGTTATAGTCTGCTTGGTGGCTTACAGTAGAATCCAAAACGCACGTTTCATCTTATTTGGGACTCGTCAACTGGGGTTTCTAACTAATGATTTATCTCTAACATGTAGAGGAATTCAGCAAAACAGTAGCATACCCTTACCTACACAATTCATATCTTGGTTTAACCATAAATCCATCATTCCAAGTGTTGGCACACTTCACAGTGGTATACAAAGAACAGGTAGATAGAAAACGTGATATCGAAGTAGAAAAATTTGTGTGAGAGACTAAGCAGTCTGAAGATAAAGGTTAGTGGGAATATTAAAGCTTTAGATGTCAAGGAGTGAATACATCTGGCCCATTGTGACCAATTTTGACCAAGAGTTTTGGACCACTGATTTCTGTCATCTCACTAACTCCAATCAGTCAGTTTACATTTCCTCACACAGCTCAAGCCAACATTTAGAGACTTCATGCCTTGGTGCCACTCTTTCATCTGGCCACCCTGAACGCTCTTCTAATTTACTCCAGCTTCCTTCAGCAGGCAGTGGCTTGGCATGTGGAGTACATGTCTAAACCACTCCAGTCGATGAAGGCTCATAATCCCATCAATGATCTTCCCTTTTATTATCATATCAGCTAACTCAGAACTATATGCTATGACGAGTCGAATGATTAATACTAGGCTTCAGTCTTGGTGCATAACACTATTGCTTATTTTGATGTCGAAACATTCAGCTGATGAGTCTAAAATAGAACTGAACGTTCATTTATTCCGGGGTATATCATCAACAAATGACTAACATCATAACTAACTGTTCCCCCTTCTGTTGTCTTAATTCATTGCCAATCCTCAGTTGAACAGTTCAGTTGATAAAATAAGTGCATCACTGTTTCATGTCATATCAAAATCCAACCTGCTAACCAAATACTATCTAGGATAATCGAATAAACAACAGTCAATTGAATTTGGGAGTTTGTGGGTATCTAGTGATTTTTCAATTTGGTATTCTTCATAGACTGATATCAATTGAAGGAACATCTGAAACCTGGGAGCACCGGTCAAGAAGAATATAGGATAACAACGTCTAGAGCTTAAAATTCCTGCTTAAGGGATATGTAGAAGAGTATAGACTGGTCTGGATGGAGTCATTAGGATGTTAGGAACCAATAGGTGCTGCTACCTTGATGTGGTGGTCGGGCTTACATATAATAATAAACCAACGAGATATACTGGCCATCAGGTTTGCCCCACCGGTCACGACTACTGGCACTATTTCGTGGACTGATAGAAGTTGGATATATGGACCATTGGATTCTGATCTAGTAGGTCGGTGGTAACGAGCTGGTTAGTGAACCTGAAGGTCCTGGGTTCGACCTGTGGAGGATGGAGTTGTGGGTGCGCACTCCTGAGGAGTCCTGTAAAGGGACGAATTAACTATCTATTGTTCCCAGATTTCTAATATTCCTTCAACTGATGTCATTCCATGATGATTACCAACATAAACAGTCAGTTATAAGAATTATAATTTCCTAGATTAATTTAAAAATTTTCCTTCCCTAGTAAAAGGAAGCTTTTGACAAGATTTAATAATTTTACTTCATGCTTTTAACGTGTTAGTTTGTTTCTGTCAAAGAGTTCACAGTGTCAATGTTGGCAGTTAATAAATACTTCAAAAACTGACAACTCTAAGTCTTACAAACACTTTTTTAGGAGTTTATTTTGGTGAAATAATCCAAAGATAATTCCTATTCAATGGATAGTTAGCAGTTTTTAACTATTGACAAAATGTTAATCTGCCGGGATATTAAGATGTAAAGTTTTAGAGTTCTTTCTGTCGGACGGTCCTGCTTGACTAAAGTTTTTTGCTTCTTTTTAACAATCATCAAACAGGGAATCAGACCTGCGTTATGTAACTTTGAAGTCAGATAACTATTCACCTGATTTCAACTTTTCTTTACATTTTCATGATTAGTAAACGTTAACAAGGATGAGGAACGTAATTCCTGGATTTCTTACCAGTTGTCTCCAGCCACCTAACAAGCAGAAATTTGGTGGTCCGCTTAAAATGCCGATTGTCAAAAGTTGTCCACAGAACACACTACATCGAATCGCTCATTTACAATTTCTTTTAAAGATTCAGCTTTTTTTAAAAGTTATATTATGCTCTGTGACGCATTTTTAAAAATGTTTTTAGCCTATCGTTTCATAAGTTATCGATAAAGCTAGGCGAAAACGTCACAGTAGATGATAGTAGACTCGTAAGCACACAACAGTACATCACATAGCCATTCATGAAATTTCGTGCCGACGTAATGAATTTCCATAATTGAACTTCTTTTCATGTTTTTCTATTCCCTGCTCCTGCAACAGTGTACCCGCAGACTTGACGAAGAGAGTTTTAGAAAAGGGAATAAAGCTTTTTTGTGACAACCATAGGAGAATAAGTTTAACCAATATTACGTCCAAGATCCTAGGATCCATTGTTATTCAACGCCTAACTGGAGATCGAGAAAACGAGGAGGATTCTAGACTTGGACAAGGGTGCATCTATCAAATCACTCTTCTGCAGGTTTAGGAACCTAGACATGCTTATCGGCCAGTGACAGACACTTGTCATACTTATTAACTTGAAGGCAGCATTCGACTCAGTCGACCGTGTGGTGTTGTGGCAGTATCTGACTATGAAGAGAGTACTGAGCAAATGCATAACGCTACTTTACTCGAACTTACGTAGCCGTATAAGGGCTCATAGAGGGTTGTCATATGAATTGATGACAACTAGTGGTGTCCGCAAGGGATGCCTTTTATCACTGTTCTCATTTAACTTCGTCATAAACATACTAATGGACATAAGCTTAGGTGCGTCTAACTTTACATGGATTTATCTACTCTCTGGAGGTAATCTGGCTGTCCTGGTGTATGCAGACGATATTGTGCTGCTAGATGAAGGTGGTAACAAAACACAGGGTCTTTCAGACACTTTGAGCAGAAATCTGAGTGTGTTTGGCATGCGTTTTGCTTGCACCTGTTAAATGTAAAATGATGATCGAGGACTGGTCTGCTGCAAGTTCTCCCAGTTTAATTGATGCAAAGGGAAGTAATTGAATGCACCGACCACTTAATTTACTTGGCTAGTTGCATAATCCCGAACTGGCTGATTTCTGACGAAATCCCATCTGGGATACAGAAGGCTTGTTTAGCATTTGCCAACTTACATTATCTGTGGTTCCGATTGAGGAGATATCCGACTATCTATCAAAGGACGAGTATACAGCGCTGCAATCCGTTCTTTCCTGTTATATGACCATGAAAGATGGCCGTTGAAAATAGAAGACATGAAGTGGTTACAGAGTTTTAAGCACACGTATCTTCGTAGCACTGGTCGCGTTTGGTGTAATCACCGTGTGAGCAATGTTAAGGTCAGGTGAAATGTACTAGGTGGCAAAACACAGGCAAGTTGATTAATGGAAGTGTAATCTTTAGTCGACTGAAGTGCTTTGTACATGTGTTGTGCGTGCTAGGCTACCGCATACCTTGACTTGGTATGCTGGGGAAAGTTGGATTACTTTAGAAAAAGGTTCAGGGTGGCCATTCGTGGCATCTGTTGATGAAGATTCTGACTGTTAGTCTGAGTCGTGTAGGAAGATACAGACTACTTGACTGGGGTCTCTGTGACGATGGCAATCAGTGATTGAGAAAATCGGTGACTCGTTGATATCTTCTAAAGCTTGAATACTTACACTAAAGGTTATTTTCAAATTGTTTATTCTCCCGCACAACTTTGTCTACCTTGATATCACTCTCTTTCTATCCACCTGTTCTTTGTGCAATACTATGGAGTATGGTAAGTTACAGCGATGCACGTGTGTGTGAAGTTCGACGTTGATTCTATCTGTGTTTCTGTCACTAGATGAAAAACCTTACAATTTGTCATTACATTTTATTCCCCATAATATCGTTTATTGTTAACATCATTATATAGCTGCTACAATTATTTTATTTCATTTGGAAGTATTTCACAGGTGATACACTTGATGAGAAAAGATATATCATGATGTTTCATTGCTAGTCGGTGTTCATAAGAAGCTAGTCAAAATAGCAAATTCATGAGATTATTAGAAAAGGGGAAACATAACTAACTGTGCAGGCAATTTATTCACCAAACAATCTTAAACTGAAATTGAAGTACTCTTTTTTCGGAAACAATGCAATAGAAATACAGAAGATGCTTACAGATCAAACTTTATTGAAGACGTCAGGATTGAACAGGGAATACGACATAGTCGCATATCAGGTCAGACAGAACTAAACTGAAGTAATCAAAAACTGTCGTTTGACTAAGAAATTTTTCGGTTGCCAAAACACTCCTATCGAATAAACACAATTTTTCCTGAAATAGTTAACCTGAATTACAGAACCTCATACTGGCTAACTGGACCTGAATCATCGAAATTTCGCATGTTTCTCTCCTCCGCCCACTCCTATAACAATTTACCTATACACTAGATTAATTAGTCTAACGGGAACTTGTCATCACATCGTACTCCTTACAATGATGTTACATGTAACATTCTTTAGATACTATAAGCGTTTCGTTTGGAGATATTACATAAGGAATAACCTTCTTGAAGCATTGTATTTTATACTGTACCAAACATGCTATCTAGAATAAAGTTATTGTTATTATTACTATTATGTGTTAGACTGTATATATGACTAGCTGGTGTTTTGTGACTTAAGTGAGTTCATTTTGGCAATCAGGGCTTATTTGGTATGCTTAAAAATGAACTACAGTCTCTACATTTCTTATCGTAAACTGTTTCTATTCACTGTTCTTTTCCTTTTTTTTTCTCATTTCTGTTATGTGTGTGTTATAGAGTTCCTCATCAGAAGTTGTGGAAAATAATGAAATTGGCGCCAATACAGCCTCAGATGAATTAAGTCTCAGGTCGTCAGTATCAAATGTTTCTTTAGGTGAAGAATTAGAATTTAACCGCTACCGTCATGTTGATGGACAGTCAATAGGGTATACAGATGACCAACTAAATGGTACATCTATGGTTGTTGAAGGTCATAAAGAAGATTCTTTCACTGGTACAGACTCGGGGACAGTCAGTGATTCTTTAAGATCTAAGTCACCAGTATATATTAGAGCTGGTGAAATACGTAATCGACTTAAAGAACAGTGTGAACTTCAACCACATAGATCTTTCAGAGTAAGTTGTCTTTTGTTAACTTTCAACCTTAATATGCTCATATGAAGTCATGTTTGGTCCCATTTTTGCTAATATCTGCATTTTTTTTCCAGCTTGCTGGACTGACATCAGTTGGAGAAACTTTGAAAGCCTGGGAGTACTGAACAGCTGTTTCATCGTAGCGTTGGACGATGACTTCGCGCACTGCTGAGGAGTCCCACGCTAGGATGAAACACCTGTTTAGGGCTTCTAGGTTTTCAATATTTTTTCAACTGATGACATTCCATGATGATATATGCTAACATGAAATCAATAAATAAATCCTCACCAACCTCCAAACTGAATTTGGATTCGTGTCAGCAATATGCAACCTGGACTGTTGTTGGAATGGAATTAGGAAATGATTATCCTCACTGGAACTAGTTATCCACAATGACACACAAAGAAGAAGAAGAAGAAGAATTTTAAGTGTAATGCATATATTTCAGGCAATTAATCAAACTCAGTCACACAATATTAAACACCTATACTCACAGTAACATTGTCACAATAGCATAGACTCAGTCGCATATCAAAGATAACCAATGAGAATATAGTTGCACATGCAAACACTTTGTATGACTTGATTAGTCATCATAGATCTATCTGGACAATCAGAAATCATCACATAACCTTAATTCCATACTGTTTAGAAATACCTGAGTGAATGGCCTATACCACCTACCAATACTATAAGAAAAACTTTCACGTAATTGTTTTATCGTGATTTGGAGATTTATAACACACTGTATAGAGTATGTCATCTACTAAATTAAAAAGTTAAAGACAGTAGTTTACGGTTTAGCTAAGTATTTTTCGAATATTACCAGTTGGGAAATATACTATTGTCTGACTGACTGGTAGGAGTATTTGTAGACTACTCTTATCGATCACTAGTGCTCAGTGCCTAGATCACCTTGATCTGGTTAGCTGAGCACTTCAGATTGATTGGTGTGATGACTGATCTGAAACTATTCGTTTCAGTCAGTAGTATACTTCGTACAGCTTTCATGCTCGAGTCGAGGTGGTCCAGTTAGGTACATTCATTACTTTTCAGCAACAGAAGATAGGAGTAAGCTACAGCCTGACTACCACTGGTCTCGATTCTGAGCCATATCTGATGACATCTCAAGCTATTCACTAAGTTGCATGATCTTTAAACTACACGTGTTTACCTACTAACTCTGCAGACATGCTGAGTGTGAAAATAACACTACTTTTGTATGTAACTTACTTAGAGACGTTGCTTATTTCATTTCTTCGGGGTATTCATAAAAGATGCATATTGAAGTGACTAATAGAATAATACGAAATATGAGTTCGCTACGAACGCAGTAAGACTCTTGGAATGGATGAGAATATCAACTGTGCCCCCCGTCCCCCCAGAACGTTATACGTCACTGAGCTACGGAAATCAGAATACAAAGAAGACCCTATGACTGTAAAGAAGATGGAAGCACATCATTTATATACAATTTTCATGAACATACAAAACTATTAGGTCAAAAATTGAATAGTTATTTTGATTGATCAACTGTAGGACAAAATTATCCAATAAGGTTTTTCCTGACCACATCTCACAGTGACATGAAACTAAGATTGAAATCTACTTTGATGGCTGATGATTTAGGAAATTTTGAAAATTTTATTTCACTCCATACTAGGTTTATACTGTTTTTGTGTTTTTCCTTTAAGCATCAGCGCTGATTTTTTTTTTAAAAAAACCACTAAATTCACCTCCTAGCACTTCATGGTAAGGGGGAAAAAAATGGCATCTATTAAAGTGAGATTTGCATATCATTTTGATGATATGCGTTTATCAGCTTAGTTTTAATGACTGTAAATGAAGCAGTATTGATTATATCAAGTCATTGTGTCTATCAGTCCAGATATAGACAGCTAGGTAATATATGATGGCTTGATTGTCAAAATTATTTCGGTAATAATATACAGAATTTTCAGCACATCATATAGCATCAATTAGCTAGAAAAAACAGTGTATATGTATATATAGCAAAATAAAAAGATAAGAATATTCACTCCATTTACAACTTTCTTCCAAATTTAGAGTTAACTAAGACAGTCAACCATATAAGCAATTAGATTCATAATACATAAATAGTAACAAGCTGTGTACTAATTAATCAGTTTGCTTTCAAAAACAAGATTAGTCAGCTCGTTTCTGACATTTTCTTCATCGCACAGGATGTGAGCTTGATAAGGAAGGTATGGTAGACATTTTTTATTTTGTAGTACGTGCCTGAAGTTCAGTGTACGTGCTCCTTGTCTTTCTAGATAATCGACTTGCAGACAGCTTTGAATGAAGAGGATGCTGGTTATTTGATAAAATAACTCCTGCTAGATGTTTATATGAGTTAAGATGTTTTTCTACAACAGTTTTAATCAGAAGGTTTAGACATGTACATCATTAGTTCTTCTATAGAATGTCAGTCAACTCTCTACCTCAACTTCATCGACTTTGAAAAGGCCTTTGACAGCGTCGACTTAGATGTAATTTGGAAACTGCTTCAACACTACGGTTTGAGTGCCACAAACCTTTATCAACCTCATTCAACAGCTATATGACGACGCCACATGAGAAGTGATTCACAGTGGGAAGCTCAATGACGCCTTCGAAGTTAAGACAGGAGTAAGGCAAGGCTGCCTATTATCACCCATGATCTTCCTGATTGTGGTCGACTGGATCATGCAGCAAACCGTAAGGTACGAGAAGATGGGCATACCCTGGACCGATGAAAAGAGCCTCGAAGATTTGGATTTCCCCGGTGATGATTTATGTCTAATGTAGCACAAACTCGAAGATCTACAGGTGAAAACTAACAAGTTCACAGACTTCAAGTAAATATAGAAAAGACGGATCTGATGAAGATGCCTAACCAACAACAGCATCAACAACAAGAGATACCAATCACCATTAACGGGAGAAACCTAAAGGAAGTAGTTTCTTTTTGCATCGTTTCAACTGCAGGCGGCGGTGGCACAGACGAGGATGTCAAAACCAGAATCGGAAAAGCAACAGCTGCCGCCTACGCTGGCTCGATACTAAAGATCAGTTGTCGAGAATAATGAGAATAAGCAACAAGGAACTCTGGCAACGAACCAACTAAGCAAGAACCTATCACCCAACAAATGTGCAGAAGGAAGTGGGGATGGATTGGGTATACACTGAGAAGGCTGACTGGGGACATCACGCGCCGGTCCCTCGAGTGGAATCCAAAAGGAAAACGATGAGTTGGGCGTCCGAGGCGATGGTGACATGAAGGAGATGATGTGAGGAAGAAATGAAAGCTTGTGGGCAGTCGTGGCGTTAGCTTCAAAAGACTACAGAGAAGAGAGTGCAATGGAGGCGTGCTAGTAAAGCCCTTTGTTCCGCTAGGAACCCAAAAGAAAAATAATAATATTATAACAATTAGTTCTTCTGATAGTCTTCAAAGTTCTACACAGAATAGCATAGTCTTTTTTCACTAACCTGGGAAATATAACGGGGAACAATAGAGGAGAATAGGCAAGATGAAGGAGTTTATAAAACACAAGAGGAGAGGTTGAGTTATACTAGATACTCTCAGCTTCCTAATATAAAAAGTTAGATGGAAAATTCTTTCGAAATTATTAAGAGGAGGACTAGGAAGGTTCCAAAGAAGAACGCACACCGAGATAAATCATACTTATAAGACGAAAGATTCATGGCATAGAGAGGTAAATATTTGATAGTGCTGTTATGATATCGAAGGTGAACAGTGTACATATTAATGGTGGCTACTGATTTTAAGTTGCTCCCCTTCAAATCGTTACAACATGAAAAAATCAACAAAACAGGAGCCAAACAGAGAAGTTAATAACATCATAAACGATAGTTAAGATAGTCACAAGGAAAAAGAGAATAACTGAAACAGTATAATAAGTTGTACACCAATTGACTACCAATTCGTAACTGATCTAGCCACTAAGTCGTTAGTGCTTCCCATTAGTCACCGTTTATCAATTAATTTTCTAATGTGGCACATAAATTAGATGACTTGATTTTGATTGCAGTGTATTGTTAATCGATAGAAAGTCACTTAGGTCACCTGAACAGCTTGGCAGTGGAAATTCTGATTTCGACAGTGATATGGAGCATCGGTTTCTTCATGTTAAAAGATACACCTGACTGACAATTGTCAAAAAGTATGATACCTTTCTTGTCGAATTACTTCTTATCGATCGACTTCTAGCATCTAACACAATAATAAAAATGTGTTTGGATTGAGGTTTTTAGAAGCATTTTTGTATAGAAAGGTAAATTGTTCTTATGTGAAGGCTTGTGAGTTGGTGAAGTCCTGCCATCTTTGAACTTCTTGAAGTTTATTGAGTCAAAATACATTTTTTTTAGAGGGGGAGGGGGTCATGGGTGTGCACTTCTGAGGAGTCTCATTCGGAGGCGAAACAGCTGTTCACTTCTCCTAGGTTTTCAATGTTTCTCCAACTGATATCAGTCCATGATGAATACGAACCTGAAATGAATGTCTGAATTGAGGTGTACTGTAAACTGAGGTCGTTGATGCCAGAAGTCTTATAAGTATATCGCTTATCATTGACCTCTATTCAGGTAACACCTCTCTCCAAACTCTTTCTTCTTCATCTGCAAATACTCACAACTACTTCATAATGAAATCTTGAAGATTCTGAGGAAGGACAAGCGTCCATACATTAGCACCGCTTCAAATAGTTGTCACTGTTATTTTCTCTAGTCTCTTACCACCACTCTGACGGTCTCACCAACTTCAATCAAGTAGGAACAGGCACGAAAACTACATAACAGAAAGCTCTGAAATTAATTATTCCCTTACATTCTTTTCAAGAGTTTCTTGAGGTGAACTTGTCTGTTATTTAATAGCTTCAAATTGTTACTTTGTTTTCTAATGTATAGTGTGACCCCGAAGATCCAAGTGCAGCGGTTTTAAAAGAACCATGGCATATGAAACGTGAACGAATACGTGCAACATCACCATGGGGTACATTACCAGGATGGAGTTTAACCAGTGCGATTGTTAAAGTTGGTGATGACTTGAGACAAGAACAATTAGCTTATCAAATGCTTACTGTGTTAAAAGTGAGTTGTTTTTAAACGTCCATCATATCCATCCCCTTATTAAGTATCTTTAGCTTATTACTGTGGGATATTGTATTCTTGTCAGCATTTTTCCATCAATTTCTGTGTTATCCTCTTTATGAATGATAATAATTTAACTAAGAAATGATGGGGGAGTATTTTTGGCTCAGGTTATCGATTGTTATATTCTCTGAACTGAAGTTTTGGTTGGCAAACATTTCAGTGACATGTTAGATAATATCATCAGAACCTGACTGTTCAAGGGTATTTATCCCCTGCTACTTTACCTATGTCTAACGTAAATAATCGTTTGGGGTATGGGCGTACGTTGAATCCGACTGACGCACATTTCGCCTGCATTTTCTTAGTGGGCTGTATTGCCATCTTATTGATCGACATTCTGTTGTTCGATTGTGATTGGAGTAATGAAAATTGTTTTGTCTGATTGGCTGGCTTTTCTGCACCTGGCTAAGGTTTCTTTTACGCTGACTGGTTAGTCTGCTTAATCCAAACTCTGATTGACTACTTAGTTTTTGCCTCAGTTGACCTCCTAAAGACTGCATAACCCAGTGGTAATGTCTGCCATCGCATTTTCGGTTGATTCGAATGTGTACATACGAAAGTATACATGGTTGCTTTTTTCGGATCACTCCCGTCGAAGACGATTGTACAGGCGATAATTCTCGACACAGCAGTATTTGTGTTCAGCAAATTATTTTCTGGAGTACGGCTGTCATTTGTTGCTTCCTATTGCCTGAGAGCCTTTGATGCTCTTGGGGACATCATGATAGCCACTGCACAACTCAGTGTGCTCGTGGTTGTCGTCTGGGTGACAGTATCTGAATAGATTATTGACCCGCCAGTTGACAGTTTGGAAAGTCCACTTACATTTCATCTGCTTTCACAGATTCCTAGCACTTCTATGCTATACCTTCTCATCTCTTTCGCAATCTTGACAACCTCGCTAGGTTCATACATGGTGTGGACATTCCATGTCCCCATTCTTACTTTCGCTTTCATCGAGAGAAGCGAAGACACATCAGCCAATTGGCTTTCCGAAGGCTCTCACTAACCGGAGTCATTTCATCTCTCCAATTCCAAGGAGGAACAAGTTTGTTTTCATTTTCAATATTTTCTTTATGCTTTGGAGTTTCATTGGCAATTGGATTGGTTTTCCGGGGTAGGGTTGCTCGTCCTATGCCCGAGTTTCCCTCTTTATCCAGGCTTAGGACTGTCTAGTAAACCAGGCGAGGTTAGGTGCTTACAGGGGTTTGTTCTAATATAAGTATAAAACTTAGTTACTGTTGTAGAATGTAATTCCATATCAGATTTGTTTATTTCGTATATAGCAAACAACGATACAGTATTATTTACTTGATGATATTTTTAGCATAAATTATTGCTCATAATTATATCAATGTAATCACACTCCTTTCGATATGTGATTTTTATATTCCTATATCCCCATATTTGTTTTTATTGGTAGTGAAGTTTTCCATATCTCTGGAATAGGTGTTACATCATTCTTATTGTATGTGTTGGGTGTAGATTTGATGAATAAATATTCAATAATGGTTTCATTTAATGCATAAAACTAATAATCCTAGCAGAATTTACGGTACTATTAAGGTCCATAGACTAGTTGACTTCCGAACTACCCTGACATATGAACTATCAAAGTACTTAACATTGATATTGTGCCTTATTAGGAACCATTTAAAATCTAGATTAGTCAATTCTTACGAGTTAAAACAAAGAATTAATGACTTATATGTAGATGAGGATCAAAAACGGGTTAGTTTCGATGTAAATAGTCTTTATAGTAAAATACCAAACAATATGACACTGGAAGCAGTTAGGAATCAACTATACATCGACTCACAACTTACTCACAGAACTAAGATATCGGTTGATGAGATCATATTAGGCGTACAGTTGTGCCTGACCTCCACAGTCTTGAAGCTTCAGGACAAAATATACAGATAGACACAAGGAGTAGCAATGGATCACCAATATTTTCAATCGTAGCAGATATATTTATGGATAGTTGGGAAAACATGGCTCTACCAACATTCACTTCTCCATTGAAGATATGGTGGTGATATGTTGATAACACATTTACTCAGTTGAAATCGGAATACATCGACAATTTCCTCTCAAGTATAAACTCAGTAGTAGGCGGAATCCAATTCACTTAAGAGGTTGAAGATCAAAAAGGAGAATTACCTATGTTGTATTGGTGGATAAAACGAAGGACAGGCAGTGGTCCAGATACTACCGTCTACAAGAAACCGACACATTCCAACAGGTATCATCTAGTTCCAGTCAGTGAAGGCAAGTTTAGTCAAATGTCTAAATGACAGAGCTAAGAGAACTCTTTAATGATTGTAAGGACATAAACAAGGAACTGAAGCGCACAAAAAGCACTAATAGTTAATAATGATCCTTTGTCATTTATTTAGAAATTCGTACAAAATGATAACAGCAATACAAAACGAATAATAGTGACAACACAAGTAGAAATAAGTTCAAAGCCAAATAAAGAAGGAACCTCAGAAACTTCACATAGGATTCTCAACAAAGCTGTAATTAGGGTGGGATTTAAGCCTTCAAACCCACTCTAATCTTTGTCGCCCGGCATAAAGATCAGATAGATCCAATTGAGCAAAATAATCTTATCTGTCAAATTCCATACAACGACTTTGAGGTCAAGTACATGGGTCAAATTAGCAGGTCGTAGTCAATGAGATTATCCGAACATAGAAATTTAACTAAATACAAATTGACAGACCCCAATAAGATCTATGATGTAGGAAAACACTTGGCTATTGCAATGCACGCATTCACACACTATCACACAACAGAGTGGAAGAAGGAGGGGAGAGAGAGACGGGGACTGATTACTGCATCTTTATCCATCGAATCAACACCCGACACATGTATTAGGAACGATGCAACATCTGTACCAGAGATATAGAAAGTCCTACTACAAATAAAAGCAGATAATATCAGGTGACCGGACTATACAAATCAGGTATCGAAAGGGCTGTGATCATAATGATATGGTTATGAGCAATAATTTATGCCTGAAACATCATCAAGAAGATAATACTGTATCACTGTGCGCTATTTATCACATTAGCTAATCTAATATGTAATAGTTTGTTATGCTCAGCGAATATGGTAACAAATGGAATAAGTCGGCATACATAAAAGACAGTGAAAGTTGTTAAGACTTGTGAAGAGTTTAGTAGAAGTTGGGTAAAGAGTATCACTTCTTCCTAATCACTTGTGTAACATGATAAGATTACTTAGAGAATGAATAATTATCAAAATAGGAAATAAGGAGTGATATAAATCGCTGAACATTAACAGCCAGAATAGGAATAGCTTGAGGTATTGTCTTTTACATGCAGATATTTGGATTTTCTATGTTAGTAGCTTCAGTTTCAGCAATACAAACAAGGTGTGCACATATGACCTTTGACAATTTTCGTTTCACTCCGTGGTTAACTTTGAAACATGAAGTTATCAAGATTACATGGTCACTGTTGACGAGGTGTTCACTTATTGCACTCCTTATTGAACTGCAACCTCCTCTTTTGCAACCGTACACGATAATGTTCTTGAATCCTTTTAAACAGGACTCGTGTAGGACGACAGTTATGTTACAGGAAGAGGTGAACTGATTTACACACATCATGGTTGTCAGATGAGGAATCTTATCCTTCAGATTGTTACAAAATACTTTTGAGGATTATTTTCAAAGTTTCTGGAAAGAATGTTCTTTGTAGGGAGGGGGTTTGAAATCCTCTTCTTTACAACCTTGGTATCTTTATCACCTTTGAATTCCAAGTTCATGTACCGTTTTTTTCAAACTGTTCTCCACTCATGATCTTAATCTTCAACATTTTAAACCGCCATCTGCTTTTTCTTCTTTTTTTCTTACCTTATGACGTAACATCTGCTCACTTGTTTCTATACTTTCTGATACTGACTGACACTGACAAAATCAACGTAGAACCTTAGACACAGGTGCACCGTTGCAATTTACCACAATTCACGGTAGTACACAAAGAACAAGTGGACAGGAAAAGAGTGATATCAAAGTAGACAGAGTTTTGTCTCAGTAGAGACTAAACAGTCTGAAGATAAGGGTTAGTGCAAACATTCAAGCACTAGAAGATATTAAAGAGTGAATATATCTGGATCATCGTGACTGATTTTAAGCAATATCCCCAAGTGTCGTCAACCACTTAATCATTTCATCTCGGGGACCTTAGTCAAGCAGTCTGGATCTCCCCAACAGTCATCATCTTGTGGCAGGTATTGACCTGGCTACCCTGAACTCTTTTCCATCCTAATCCAACTTCCACTAGCATGGCGCGTCGAATTAGTCGGTGGCCCAGCATGCACAGTATATGTCTAAGTTACCTCAGTCGATGAAAACCCACAGCGGCACCAACTGACTTACCTCTCCTGTCTAAAACTCTACTTCTGACTTCTGTGTTACTCACGTGGTAACACCACGACACACGGCCTATGCTACGAAGGCAACGGTGGTCAAGCACCTGAAGTCTTCTCATATCTTCTACCTTTGATGATCATGTGTCACAGCGCGGACTTCAGCACAGTACACTCGATCCTTAATAAACAAAAGAATATCGTGGCGGCGCCACAGATGGGATAATTCGGCAAAAGACAACCGAGCTTTTTGTATCCGTGCAGAGATTTCGTCAATGACCGACGCTCCAGGTAAGTGAAGTGTTCAATGTCTGAACCACTCCACTTTGTATCGTTAGTTGAGGTACCGTTGAAGATCAGTCCTGGAGCAACAATTTGCACTTGGGTGGCGAGAAACGTATCTTAAATATTCTCAAATTGCCACCTATGATATCCAGAAGGGCCACGTCTTGACAGCATCTTCACCTAATAGGATTATGTCATCTACGTATTCTAGGTCTACCAAAAATTCTCATGTGATCAGGTCAATCCCTGTGTGGTCAGATGACGAGAGGAAGACCTCCATAAGAAAATCTATGACAAAATTTTATGAGAATGGAGACAGTGGGCATTTTTAGCGAGCATCACTCGAGGTACACAACTCACCCGATATCTGACCGTGGGCTCTAACACGCCCACAGATGTTCGAGTAAAGAGCCTTCAAAGGAGGGTCCTCCTTCAACGAGAAACACTAGCATAAGACTTCCCGATCGATGGAGTCGAATGCTGTCTTCAGGTCGAGAGATACAGTCGTTGTCGGGCATCGGTAAGTGTGCCTGTGTCTTAGGACCTAGTGAAGTGTAAATATTTAGTCGACTCATCATAAACTTATACCATTTGAACCTCGGGATGTTAACTAGTTCTTTAGTTACTAGCCGGTCCTAAGCCAGGGTGAAGAGGGAAACTCGGGCATAGGACGAGCGACCCTACCCCGGAAAACCAATCCAGTTGCCAATGAAACTTTCTCCTGGAATCGGAGAGATGAAATGACTCCGGTTAGTGAGAGCCTTCGGAAAGCCAATTGGCTGATGTGTCTTCGCTTCTCTCGATGAAAGCGAAAGTAAGAATGGGGACATGGAATGTCCGCACCATATATGAACCTAGCGAGGTTGTCAAGATTGCGAAAGAGATGAGAAGGTATAGCATAGAAGTGCTAGGAATCTGTGAAAGCAGGTGAAATGCAAGTGGACTTTCCAAACTGTCAACTGGCGGGTGAATAATCTATTCCGATATTGTCACCCAGACGACAACCACGAGCACACTGAGTTGTGCAGTGGCTATCATGATGTCCCCAAGAGCATCAAAGGCTCTCAGGCAATGGGGACCAATCTCCTTCTGCAGGATCATGGCAGCAAGGTTCAGCTCAAAAGGAAGGAAGGTTACAATCATACAATGCTACGCACCTAAAAATAGTGCAGGTCAAGAGAAGAGGGAGGAATTCTACAGACAACTGCAATCAGTACTGGATGACTTCAAAATCCTAATGCGTGGGGTGACATGAATGCCAGACTGGTCGCGGACAACACAGGAAAAGAACTCATCATGGGTGGAGAAACACTTGGTGAAATAATTGAGAATGGAGAACTTTTTGCAGACTTCTGCGCATTCAACGATTTGGTGATTGGAAGTGCTACGTACAAACATAAGGATATTCACAGAGCAATTGACATGGATTTCACCGGATGGACACACTAAAAATCAAATCGACTTTATCTCAATCGCTAGAAGGTGGAGACACAGCCTACTGGACACAAGATCAGACCAAGAAGGGGAGCAGATGTAGGTTCACACCACTCACTATCTAGTGCAAGCAACCTTCCTTCCAAATCAAGTTGAAAACTTTCAAGGAAGTTGGTGATAGGCCACAGTTCAAGTTGAACACCCAGAACAGAAACTGAAGGCAGAAAAAATCAAAGGACATCTTCACGTCAGCTATCAGGACAAAATGGGAGACATTAAGCAACATCCCTGAAGAAACCTGTGTGGAAAACCACTGGAACTCTGTGAAGCTGACGTGGAAGCAAACCTGCATAACCGTGTTATGAAGGAAGAAGAAGGGGCAAAATAAGGAATGGATCTCGACGGACACTTGGAAGCTTATAGAGTAGGGAGCGGAAGATTAACCAGGGCGGTGCAGTTCAAGGATGAACAACGAAAGGAGGAACTGAGTACTGCGTATAAAACACTGGACAGAGAAGTGAAGAAGAGTGCGTGGAAAGACAAAAGACATTTGTGCGACGCTTTGGTAAGTAAAGCAAAACCGGCTGCAGGTAGAAGGGATCTGACAACAACTCTATCCGGGAAGAGATCAACTCAGATGAAACCAATGAGAGATAGTGCAAGAAAGTTAGTTACCAAAAAGGAGAAACAACGGGCTGACCACTTCAGAAAACTTGAATTGACCACCGTGGCGTGCAACTTGTTCAGAAATACCACCAGCAGCCCAGCCACAGGACTGTCAGTTAACGCAAACCCTCTGACAAAAGCAAAGTCCTGAATGCCATAAAGTCGCTGAAACCTGGGAAAGTAGCAGGACCAGATGGATATCCGACAGTAGCACTTAAAACAGACTCAGAGACAACAGCGGACACCCTCACACCACTACTGCAGAAGGTTTTGAAGAAAGGAAAGATACCTGCCGATTGGAAGAGGGGCTACCTTGTCAAACTTGCGAAGAAGGGAGACCTCAGTGTTTGCAAGAGCAGGCGCGAAATCATGCTGCTGTCCACCCCAAGCAAAATATTATGCCGCATCATCCTGGAGAGACTAAACGATATTCCGGATTCAAAATTACGACCGGAACAGGCTGGCCGGCTTCAGGGAGTACAAATCATGTGCGGACCGAATTGCAACGCTTCGCATCATCATAGAATAGAGTATAGAACGGCAGTCAACTCTCTACCTCAACTTCATCGACTTCGAAAAGGCCTTTGACAGCGTCGACCGAGAAGTAATTTGGAAACCGCTTCAAGACTACGGTTTGAGTGCCATAAACCTTTATCAACTTCATTCAACAGCTATATGACGACGTCACATGAGAAGTGATTCACAGTGACGCCTTCCAAGTGAAGACAGGTTGACAGAAGAAGCAGAGCAGCGAAGAAGGGACTTCCTTCAGGAGAACTTATATAAGACACAGGCGATGAAGATACCCAACCAACAGCAACAACAATAAGCATCAATCACCATGAACGGGAGAAACCTAAAGGAAATAGCCTCTTTCACATACCTACCTCCGAGGCAGCATCGTTTCAACTACAGGCAACGGCACAGGCACAGATGAGGACGTCAAAGCCATCCAGGATCGGAAAGACACCAACACAAGCCTGTCTTCATTCACCTGTAACCAGTGTGGAGATCTACTGCACTCAGCGTAAAGAACAAGATCCAGATTTTAAACACCAACGTCAAGTCAGTGCTTCTATGTGACGGTTGAGAGGCTTGGTGCGTTGCGAAAAGCATTTCCAACAAACTACAGACATTCATCAACAGCTGCCGCCTACGCTTGCTCGAAACTGAAGATCAGATGGCCAGAAGGAATAAGCAACGAGCCAACGAAGCAAGAACCCACCGTCCAACAAATATGCAGAAGAAGAGATGGAGATGGACTGGATTGGACATACACTGAGAAGACGACTGGAGGACATCACGCACTAGGCCAGGCCAGGCGAGGCCGGTCCCTCTAGTGGAACCGAAATGGGAAACGAGGAGTTGGGTGTCCGAGGCAGGGGCGACATGGATGAGATGGTGTGAGGAAGAAATGGAAGCTTGTGGGGAGTTGTGGAGTCAGGTTGACAAGACTGCATAGAAGAGAGTGGAATGAAGATGTGCTACTGAAGCCGTATGTTCGTTCCACTAGGAACCCAAGGGACGAATAATAATAGTATAATAATGATATCTTTTGAAGAAGCATTAGAAACCTGGATGCATTAGAAATGAAATAAACCTCTTCACTGAAGTGTTTGGTTTTGTGATTTGACCAAATGTTTATCGCACAGTAGTAGTGGTGGTTTTTGGATATGTAGGCCAGCCGACTGGAAGTTTACTATTCATCGAAATTTATTCCTATGGATGTTCTCAAAGGATATTTTTATTTATAGTATATTTGGAGTTTTTAAAAACTTTGGTGTGAATTGATCTTTATGATGACAGACGTTTCGTTGTCAAATTAGGTGTGGTTTCCAGCACAGAATTCTTGTTCAGCTAGATTTTACGTTTATTTTGATTATTAATAGGATAGATACTGTAAGAGGTATCAGTCGGCAAAAGGTTTGCTGAATATTGCGGGAAAACTCAGTATTTAAACGTTTTTTCTTGTGTACTCATGAAGGTTTATTGTTTCTTTATTATTTTTTTAATCTTGGTAGAACATTTGGGAATCTGAACATGTTCCACTTTGGTTACGTCCATTGACTGTAGTGGTGATATCACTTGATAGTGGATTTATTGAACCAGTCCCGGATACAGTATCCTTTCATCAGATTAAACGACATGCACGTTTATCACTTGTCGATTATTTGCACAGAGAACATGGTGCTGATAATTCTGAGGCATTTTTAACTGCTCAACATAATTTTGTACAAAGTTGTGCTGCCTACTGTTTAGTAGGTTATCTATTTCAAGTTAAAGATAGGTAAGTTGACTTTTCGATTGGTTTATGTACGTTATTGTTTTGTATTCGTCGTAATTGATCGTTGAAAGTGATATATTTTGTGGAAGAGTATGTAGTACAATGTTGTAGATCTGTAATAAATCTATTCCATGGGATCATGGACTTATTCTCTTCTCCCTCTAATTGAATTGTGATTTCGGTGTGTAATTCAAGCATTAGAAAGTCAGTAAATAGACTAATCAGGGTATAAAATAGACACTAACTTTCATGGAGTACATATATTTGACCATTGATTTCTATCGTCTTGGATACCCCCAGCCGAGTAGTCTATATCTCCACAGTCAGGGACTTCATCGGCCGATTCCACGTGTTGTTCTGACCACCGTGAACCGTCTTTCAACCTAGTCCAACAACAAATCGATGCAGGCGGTGATTGCTTCACTCACCATCGTCTTCTTCTTTCCGGTATATTTAAATAGCCCAAATAGTTGCCTGGTGTTACGCAACGTTGGTACCTTCTGTATCACTCTCGCTTTTGCCGCCCATCAGTGCTCTCGATCATTGCGAAGACTCTTGGTCAACTTATGTTGAAGTTGCTTTCGCTCTTCATTGTAGTTATAGGCAGTCACTTGGAACCAGTCTACTGGCATCAATTAGTTCACATGACGTCGCGGAAATCCATTGACATTTGCTGAGCTTCGAGTATAGGTTACTTAATGTCTTTTCTGCTGTTTCTACTGCAGACTTATTATCACACCAGGTTTCCTCAGGATGTGTAATGCTGCCACTTTCAGATAAGTGCTTAACTAATTCTCCTCTAAATACTTACTTGGCGTCCTCATCTTTTAATCGAACACAGATACATTTCATGACCTCCTGTTTCCTGCGGCTGGTAAGGTGCAGACATGCGCAAGCTCAACTATAACATGATCGGAGTCCAAGTAGGTACTCCAGAAAGAGCTGCGATCCTCCAACGATGTCTTATAAGAATATGGTCGTCAGAGCAGAATTGCAAGAGACAATCACCGTTGTCGGTTCGTTGGCATGGAATTTCGTGAATTCTCCCAAGATGCCATTATGACTACATCTGAACGTTTTGCTTTCTGTAGCAAAACTGACAGCTTCTCATAGAATTCATCCTTTGCATCATCCGAGCTACGTAGGTCAGTGGGTGCGTGAGTGGGGATTACAAATAGGCATCGATTGGTCTCACAATCCTTTCTAGTCTTTGCAGATCCATTCAGTCGAACAGGACATAAACGACTGTTGAGTGGTATCCAGTCGAGAAGCTCACTGTCTGCCCTACAGTTCAAGGAATGGAATAAAGTTAATCGTTTCATCTATCATGGAGCATGTTCAGTTTACGTAAAACGGTCAGTAACAAAGATAACCGACAATGTAACTGAAATAACTACTTTCCCGTCTAAATTCTGATTTATATCAAAATGAGAGTTAAGAGCAGAACGAAGAAGTGAATGGATATGGTCATATCAGAAGCCGTAAAACTCTATAACGATATATGATGATGTAGGTGTTGGCACATTTGTACGAATGGGATCAGTTCAATACGCTTCACAAATACGAAGATTCTCATACATAACTCGAAATCACTAGTTGTGAACATCACTTGGCAGTAACCTGTGTGTTGGTCTAACAATCCATAAGTTTACTCCAAACCGTTCCTATTCCAACTTACATCGAGTTTTGAAGTAAACATTTGGTTGTCATGCTTAATACACATATCATTTATTTCAGTTGATGAATCTATATAACCTAACCACCTCGTCCAGCTACTTATTTACCTTAGGCTTCATCCACAATGGCCACTATTCATATTATAGCTCCATAACAAATGACTGATAAAATCAACGTAGAGAACCTCGCATACAGCTGCATCGACTCAAGTTGCAACACTTTACAAGAGTATACAATGAACAAATGAATAGAATATGAGTGAAATGGATGCGACTTCTTGGTTTGGCCCCCTTGAATACTCTTACAATCTAATCCAACTTCCGCCAGCATGGTACGTCGAGGTAGACGGTAGCTTGGTATGCGCAGTACACGCCCAAGCCATGTCCGTTGATGAGGGTTCACAACCTTATGGATGAAACTGCCTGTCTTGCCGTCTAGTACTCTTCGCTTGATGTCAACATTGCTCACACGGTGATTCCAACAAAAGCGATCAGTGCTATGAAGACACGTGTGATCAAAACTCTGTAACTGCTTCATATCTTCTATAGTCACATAACAGGACAGAACGAATTACAGCCCTGTATACTCGTCCTTTGATAGATAGTCAGATATCTCACCAGTCAGCGTCACAGATGATGCAAGTTAGTACATGCCAAATGGTCCTTCTATATCCGAGCTGAGATGTCATCAGAAACCTAGTAACTCTCCAAGTAATTGAAGTGGTTCCAGACGAGTCCGAATGCATCGCTCAGGATGTCTTATATTACTATCACAGAATATTCTATTTGTCATATGTGTGAACGAAATATGTCGGATACTGAAGTAAATGGGTCAAACTAGGTAGTATGTTCAGCTGACAGATGGACTGACTGCAACCTTAATTCCTGTAGTTAAAGTAATTGACTGTATACTGTAATGTGATTGGTGGGTCCCAGGTTGTATACCGAGGATTAGAGAATGATATGAAACGAAATAAATGATTCCTTTGTGTATTATTATGATCATTGTTTGTATGCTGTACATTATATTTTCCTTCTTTCTTACTGCTTTTTTAGACATAATGGAAATATCCTATTAGATAATGAAGGTCATGTTATACATATTGATTATGGTTTTATTTTATCCTCATCGCCGGGTAAAAATTTAGGCTTTGAAACAAGTCCATTTAAATTGACATTAGAACAAGTTAATGTTATGGGTGGTATTGGCAGTGATTTATTTGAATATTTTAAATTACTTTTATTACGTGGATTATTAGCTGCACGTAAACATATGGAACGAGTAAGTTATTCTTAATTGTAACTGTTCTTTTGTATTATTCTTTATTTTCAATTATTAAATGGAGTAACTGGACTGCTAAATGTGTAGAGCAATAGTTCGTCAATTTCACCACTTGACTTTCGTCCCACCTGTATGGGACTCTTCAGCAGTGTGCACCCACGACCCTGCCAGGGGTCGAACCTTTGACCTTCCGGTTCCGTGGTAAGCACGTTGCCATTCAGCCACTTGGTCGGAATCCAATGGTCCATATTTTCAACTTCTGTCAGTTCACGACATAGCGCGACCATCACCTGATGTCATCGTTGAGTATTTGTCCTCACGGCCACCAGGTTTGCCCCACTAGTCATGCCTTTTCATCGAGAACCACCTCTCGAACCTAGTCACCAATGAGCACTAGTTCATTTGAATTTGGGGGCGGGGGGGGGGTTGTGGGGATTTAGAATACCAACTTGAAATATCTGTAAATCCCTCCAAAATAAATTGAGTTTATCAAATCCCTTGCAATGATTACGAGGTTAAAGTGGTCGACTAGGGTCAATCAGAATAACAGAACAGAAAAACTTGGCTAAATCAAGATTTGTAGATGCTATTAAGATAAGAAATTTAGAGAAAAAAACTCGGCTATAGGTATGCACACAATCGCATAGTAGGGTGAGATAGAGTGAAAGTATGAAAAACTAAGTTGGGTGGAGGGAGGGAGCCATTGATAATCGAATCTTTGTTTATCGAATCAATACCAAATATATGCAGTAATAGAAAGGAAAAGAAAATTAGAGCCATATAAACTCTATCTAGAAGTTATTGAGTTACTCGATATGAATATGGACAATAAATTGTATCCGAAACGTTATCTGTTGCTTCATTGTATCATTCTTAACAAAATGAAATTACGATCTACTACTTTGACTAAGTTTTTACTTCAAGTTGTTATTCATCGTAGACTGACATCAGTTGGAGGAACAAAGGAAACCTGGGAGCACTGGACAGCTGTTTCGTCCTAGTATGGGACTCCTCAGCAGTGCGCTAAATTGCTGTTTCCAAAGCGTCATGAAGTTAATAACACTCTTTCACTATATGATGATGCTGATGATGATACATTTGCTCAAGTATTACTCCTTATCAAATAATGCCTATATATATATATATATATAATCTTTGATGTTGTTGTTTGTTTTTCTCTTCTACTGTATAGATATGTATACTTGTCGAGATAGCACGTGCTACATGTCCACAATTACCATGTTTTGCTCGTGGTAATGGTAATCGGATACTAACAGATTTAAGACAAAGATTTCAATTATCTCGTACAGATGAACAATTAAAACAGCTAGTTGATCAAATGGTCCAGAATTCAATGAATTCAATGACCACAAAATTATATGATAGTTTTCAATATTATACTAATGGTATACAATAAAATAAAATGGGATATTATTTGTTTGTTTTAAATGTACTTTGTATTTATTTACTCCTTTGTGAAAGGAGATAAAAATGGAGGAATGTACACAGATGGATTAATCCCAGTGACAAATTGATGTTGTGTATGTGTGTGACGGATGCACCGACTAAAGATATCCTGGAATTCTTGTAAATTTTTCAAAGGAAAAAATCAGTACGATTTCCTCTAATCTACTACTTTCATTGTTTATCGTATACTTTTCCTTACCATTTATGTTTGTTTTCTTTTTGTACACTAAAGTGATTGGATGTCAGTCAGTTACTTGTTTTCTTTTCTTCTCCATTGAATTTCAGGCATATCGTATCATATTCAAGTGTATTCTGTTGAAAAAAGAAATTTTTATTTAATAATTGACTTATTATTATTATTTCATTTTGCTTTTTTTCTGATAGATAAACATTCAGCTGGGTTAGGGTTTATTTAATGTGGTTAAGGTTACATTATCCCTTTTTTATTTGCTTCACCAGAGGCGTATGGTAGTGGTGGTCTGTCAGAAATATACATGGAGTGACTACTGCTGCTGCCGCCGCCATTACTTCAACTAACATTTGTGGTGATGATCGTAATATTAATGTAAACCGCCTTATCCCATACTTTTTTTTCTGATTTTTGGAATAAATGGAGAATGTCTGTTCGTTTTTAAAAAAAAAATCTTATTTTCTAATTATTCATTTATTTCCCTGTCTCCTCATTTTTTAAAAAAAATGAAGATAATGATAATAATCATCATGAACTTGTTGTCATTCTCTCCGCGTCTTTTGTTCTATTCTTCCCTTCCCTCCCCCCCCTCCCCCCTCCCTATAAAGACAATTAGACAATATATATGATTGTTTGGTGAGTTTATTTTCTCCTTCTGACTTGGGATCTCCTCTTCCACTCGTATGCTATACACGCAGACAGAGTGAGAAGCGAACGATTTTGATGTCATCCTGTCATGTATGATATATTAAACACAATTATGTCATGTACCAACAATAATCAATGAGGTGCTTGGTGATCTGTTGTTTTGTAAATTATTTTTTAAGATCTCTTCGATGACCTTTTAGTCATTTTTGTTTTGGCATGTTTAACGCATCATATGTGTGTGAGTAATTCCATCTTTTCTCTCTGCCTTCTTTTTATTCTTTGGTGATATTGTTATTGGTGAAATGTTTGGAATTTTTGGTTGGGTCAGATAATATTTTGAGTTTTATAAATTATTTTTGAAAGAAACATGTGTGGTCTCCGTGTTCAGTAATGCATCTTGGGTTCAAGTTTTATGCTTGCTGGCAGTCATCAACAGATAAGCTTTGTATGAAATCTTTCTACTAACTGACTTCCAACATTGCACTATGAAATAGTTCACCCCAGTGTCTTGTCACTCATCTTAGCAAGCACACTGCAAACTTGATTGCTATGCTTCAGTCAGTATTGAGCGCTAGACCGACGAAGTCACAGAATTGCGTACTTTCATTTTGCCATACTTCACAGTAGTGTACAAAGAACAGAAAGAGAGCGATATCACAAAAGATAAATTAGTGTAAGAGAATAAACAATCTGAGGATAAAGGTTGGTGGGAATATTCAGGCTTCAGAAAACGACGGGGACCCTAACCAGACAGCCTACATCTCCCCCACACGAGTCAGGCTAACAGTCAGAGGCTTCATGGAGTGGTGTCATGTCTTAATCCGGCTACTCCGAGCCATCTTCCAACTTAATCTAACTTCCTTCAGCATGCCACATTGAGGTAGGCGGTGGCTTAGTTTGATTGGTACATGTTTAAGCCATCTCAGTCGACTATGGTTCACAACCTCATCAATCGGCTTGCCTTCTTTACCAAGTACACATCGGCTGGTCTCCTCTACATTGTTCACATGGTGATTCTACCAAACGCGAGCAATGCTACGAAGACACCTTTGGTCACAGTAGTGTTACCAAAGAGTAAGTGGATCGCAGAAGAGTAAGCGCTAAGAACTAGATGATGATTACAATAGCTATCCAACTGGTGACCAGTTCGTTTATCTTGTGAATGATTGAGTAAAGTCGGTTGAAGAGTAACTTTTGCTGTGATTTTTTTTAAAAATGAGCGGCGAGTCAGTCTGACAAAAGGATAGAAATAATCAATATTCTGTTTGAAATACTGATAAAGGATTAACCTGATCACACAAGTGGTTTCTGGCAAGAAAGTGGCGTAAAAGTCAACTGCAAAGATTATTGAATACTCCAATTCAAATGATATTTTTCAGTCATTAATTCTAATTATATCTGGTAGTCATGAGGACACTGAGGGTAAATTTAATTTATTTTGTCGCGTTTCCTTGAAATCTCTCCTCCAGAGACTTTTCATCGCATTTCCCCATGCTTTTTCAAAATGGTAAAATTGCATGCTCGATAGAACATGACTACTACCGTCAAACATATCGGGTAAGCGCTCTATTAACCTCCTTTCTTCATACTTTCTTTTCTATATTTAAATATTACTTTAAAAAGTATTAGGCGTCATTCCCAGTACACTTTCAGTTTGAGAGACGTGCCCAACAGTGTTCGCAAGCCAGATTAGGATGGTCTAAACATCGGACAACCGTTTCGTTAATTTCAGACTGAACTAATAGGTGGTGAGGCCGAACTGATTCGGTCTAGAGTGATATATAAGTTCTCTTAGTGAACGAAGTGCGTGTAGTTCCAGTAGTCTGGAACACGTAGCTGTGCGGATTTAGTCTTAACGCTGACCTTGGAGGTGGTCGGTCTCGAATGTACTTGCGCAGTCTCGTATACGCAACTCAGCCACTCAAACTGCTTACAACAGAATAGAAACTTACTGACAAAATCAACCTAACCAATGCAACTTTCAGCAATTCATAATAGTATACAAAGAACAGGTTGATGGGAAAGCAGTGATATAAAAGTTGTTCGACAGAATGGACAGTGCAAATACTCATGCTTTAGATGTCAAGCAGTATTCAACCACTGATTCCTTTCGTCTCACAGATCCCACCTAGGCAGTCTCCATCTCCCAACACGACTTAGACTTCTACCAATGTAATTCAACTTCTGCCGACATGGCACATCGAGGTAGGCGATGGCTTACATGCCTTTGTAGCGTTGCTCACGTTTAATGGAACCACTATGTGAGCACTGCTGTGGTCAGAAGAAGGATATTAGGCAAATAGATAGACAAAGTTTTGAAACTTAGTCGACTCAGGTGTCTTGGATAGAATGAACAATCTGATGCTTAATATCTGTAACTATTTCAGGCGATCTGATTCATCTGCAAATACAACTAAATTATTTAACCACAACATACCATGATTTATAAAGATGAAACAAGCAACTTCAAGCTCAAAATATGGGATGGATAATTGACAGTATTGAATTTCTCATAACATGCTATTATTTCCGAATTAAAACTCATACATAAAAGTGGATAAATAGTCAATCAAAAGCTCTTCAACCAACCTGTACACATTATAGTGTTGCCAATATATTCATAAGCTGAATGACTTTCAAAATAAATAAAACGGTACGACCAGTGACACGTGTGAGATTCACGGTTTCCACTTTTCGTCTGATATAACAAAGTGAGATTCATAAGTGGTTGATAGTTATTTATTGTAGCCTAAATGATAACGCAGAGATCATTGGTCTAAACTTCTCCATGTTTCTAATCTCAATCATTATTCGCATAATTGTAACATTTATATTTTATTAGCTGTATGCAACTTATAAAATATAAGAACATACTTGTACTACTCAAACATTGGATTTAAGTAATATTACGCGGTTCGAGGAAACAGTCTGTAAATGAGTAAAAGTAGTAGTGACAAAATGTAGTGAGTTGCAGTGGAATTAAATCGATAAAAAAGAATGCAAGACTGATAAGTAGTTTCTTTTGAATAAATGTTGTACAATGGTTTATTTATTGTATCGCATATCTTTGAGTGAACTCTACAGGATTACAGTTGTATATTCATTATCACAAAAAGTTCCAACAAATATGACTGAAGCATCACGTCCAAGTCTCAGTGGTCTCAATATCACCGACTGTGAGGCAGGTACATCTGGCTGATGAGTCCTGATTTCCTCTTTTACGACTGAGTAGTTTTATCAGCCGTCAAACCAAGTGAGACTCATTGTCTTGTACAGAAATAAGCGTCAATTCGCATAATTGAAGTGTTCATAGGTTGTTCTCAATATAATATACTGCCACTATTAACTTATCTTTCGGGAAGAATTGAGTGACGCTTAAGCGAAATCAAGATACTCGTCGTGACCAAAGCAACAGTGCCAACTTCTCATATAGACTTTAACATAGCGCAAGGAGAACTTATATATTCTTACTTGTATTAGCCGATCGCTGATTCAACCTATCCATCATTACAAAATTGAAGCGCAGGCAATATCGAGACATTTACTCAGGAGCCTCTATGCCAATGGAGACTGATCAATTCTGGTCCGATCAACGAGATAATACAAGTAACAATATAAAAATCATGCTGTTCACACAAGAAGTGGCCTCGGCAGCCTAGTGGATAACGCTTTGGTGTTTTAAAGCGGTCGGTACCACGTTCGAGTGAGACGAAACACGAGTCTTGGACTCCAGTTAGCCACTACCAATTATTTATACAAGGGAAATTATTCATATTGCACTTCAAGCGATCCGCGATCCATAAGTATGGAGAGATGATAAGTGAAATGTATTAAAAAATCATGAATTCAATTGGGACCATGACTTTTTAACAGGAAATTGGATATTTTGAACGTCTAATACTGTTTATATTTAATTAACATATCAATAGGGTTCTACTGAGTTGCTGAAGTGACACTGGAAACTTAGAATTGGTTCATTATTACATCAGGTAAACTGGATCTTAGTAAAAAGCAGAGCTAACTTGTCAGAAAGCCACAAATAAACAATCCATAGAAGATGTAAATTGTGAAAAAGTATCGATAAGTAATCATAGGAAGTGGACATCAGAAAGATATCATGGAACAAGAGACCGGGTAGCAGTATAAGCCTGCATACAGGTGCCGGGATAAAATTGCAACGCTACGGTACGCATCATCATAGAACAGAGTATAGAATGGCAGTTCATAAAACCTGTACCTCAACTTCATCGATTTTGAAAAAGCCTTCAACATCATCTACTGAGAAGTAATTAGGAAACTGCGGAATACCACAAACCTTTATCAGTCTCATTCGACAACAACTATATGATGCTACATGCCAAGTGGTTCACAATGGGAAGGTCAGTGATGATTCCGAAGTGAAGTGGAGGCAACAGTAAGACAAGGTTGCCGCCTACTATCACCGATCATCTTCCTGATTTTGGTCATCTGGGTCATACAAGAAGAAACTGTGTGAGGAGCGAGATGGGTACACACTGATTGACCGATGAAAAAATCCTAGTAGATTTGGATTTCCCCGATGATGATTTATATCTAGTGCCTTATGTCGCACAACCTAGAGGATCTACAGGTGAAAACCAACAAGTTGAAAGAAGAGGCAGAGCAGCGAAGAAGGGACTTCCTTCAGGGGAACCTAGATAAGACACAGGCGATGAAGATACCCAACCAACAGCAACAACAATAAGCATCAATCACCATGAACGGGAGAAACCTAAAGGAAATAGCCTCTTCACATACCTACCTCCGAGGCAGCATCGTTTCAACTACAGGCAACGGCACAGGCACAGATGAGGACGTCAAAGCCATCCAGGATCGGAAAGACACCAACACAAGCCTGTCTTCATTCACCTGTAACCAGTGTGGAGATCTACTGCACTCAGCGTAAAGAACAAGATCCGGATTTTAAACACCAACGTCAAGTCAGTGCTTCTATGTGACGGTTGAGAGGCTTGGTGCGTTGCGAAAAGCATTTCCAACAAACTATAGACATTCATCAACAGCTGCCGCCTACGCTTGCTCGAAACTGAAGATCAGATGGCCAGAAGGAATAAGCAACGAGCCAACTAAGCAAGAACCCACCGTCCAACAAATATGCAGAAGAAGAGATGGAGATGGAATGGATTGGACAGGCCAGTCCCTCTAGTGGAACCGAAATGTGAAACGAGGAGTTGGGTATCCGAGGCAGGGGTGACATGGATGAGATGGTGTGAGGAAGAAATGGAAGCTTGTGGGGAGTTGTGGAGTCAGGTTGACAAGACTGCATAGAAGAGAGTGGAATGGAGACGTGCTACTGAAGCCGTATGTTCGTTCCACTAGGAACCCAAGCGACAAATAATATGATAATATACAAGTGTCGATAACAAACTAGTATGTCAACCTGTATCAGGTTGAATAGCATTATCTTTCAAAATAACCAAAGGGTCCCTGCATTTTGCTCGCCGCAATTATCACCTCCGACTACTGATCTCTCTCCTGTGTGATCAATGCAAACAACTCAGATAGAGTGTCATTGACTTTAATCATCAGCAGCCTGTCTTACTACTGAAAGAAGCTAAAACTGGTGAAATTAAACAAACAGCTAATACTCATTGAAAAATGCACTGATCGCAAGTTCGGTTACTATTGCGCATGCGGAACCACCACCTTCCTCGACTTGCCATGCCAGGGGAAGTTGGATTAGGCTGGAAGAGGGTTCAGGGCGGTTAGACCAAGGCCTGGCACCAGTCGATGAAATCCCTGACTATTGGTTTGAGTCGTATGTGTAGACCACTTGGCCAGAGTCCCCGAGACAATACGAATCAGTGGTTAAGAATTCTTGGTGACATGGCTGACGATCAGTCCATAATGGTGGGGATATATTCACTACTTGATGTCTTCTGAAGCTTGAATATTTGCATTACCCTTTATCTTCAAATTGTTTATCCGCTCATACCACTTTGTCTACTGTTACAGCACCCACCTGAACTAGTGCACCTCTGTGCGAGGTTCTACGTTGATTCTGTCTATATGTGGTTACAAATTTGATTTTATAACTGTGGAAAAACCAACGACAAGTTGTGGAGAAGAATATTTTCCATTCATCATTTGACTTTGAATAAATGAAATAGAAATATTCTGCAGAAGAAGTTCAGGTGTACATCGAAAATTCTTGTTTTCATTTTTCACATATGATGAGATTATTATTAGTATAATTACTTGTATTATGCCGTCTTTGATTATACCGAATTGATCGGTCTCTATTGGCATATGGGCTCCTGTGACGACGCCTCGACGTTGCCTGTGTTCTTAACCATATAGTAATGATGGATAGTGACTAGCAGTGGAATCCAGGAGGCACACTTCGCCCTATTTGGGACTCGTCAGCTGGATGTACCTGCCTCCCAGTGACCGATGTCATTCCTACACGCCAAGAGACCGATCACTTCGGTTCAATCAACGGGCAACAAGCAATTATACTAAAAACATATCCGTCGCACAAGTAGCTATCGTGGCTCGGTAGTGTAGTGAGTAACGTTCTGGCGTTTGAAGCGATCGATCCCGAGTCCAAATCCCAGTGGGAACAACACCACTCACTAGGAAGCAGGTACATCCAGCTGACGAGTCCCAAATACGACGAAGTGCGCATCCTGGATTCCACTGCTAGCCACTATCCATGATCACTATGAATGATGGGAATATATTGAAACTTACATTACGGTTAAATCACCCTCGATGCTTAAATTCTTTCAGTATATTCGCAACAACTATGATCCGGATATTTATGAACAGCTGCTACACTCAGACTACTTGTGTATCTTCTAGCATACAACATTAGTCTGTGGTTGGGAATTCGTTGACAATCATTATTCATTATCATTTGACTATCTGAGATAGCCGTAGTTTGGCAGACTAGTGTTTGTACTGGGTGAAGATTGAAGGTGAGATGAAAATCTGGACTGCGGCCGGATTCGAACCAGCAACCACCGGGGTTGCCAGCCAGGTGCTTTAGCAACTGAGTTACGAGGTCCGACTGCTGACCAGATTTTTATTTCACTTCAACCACCAAAGGTTTTTCCCGACTACCATGTGAATTCGTGATGCGTTTCTACCGCTTGATTGTATTCACACTGGCTACCTAGTCAGGACTTCCCATACAAATTCAAATCTAACTGAATCAGAACCCTTAGTGATTGAAGTGAAATAAGAATCTGGTCAGCAGTCAGACCTCGTAACTCAGTTGCTAAAGCACCCAAAGATAATCATAATGTTTATGAATACTGAAACATAATTAAAAAGCATAGTAACAATCAAAGTTAAATTGTTATGACATAAAATGCAGAATTGATAAGATAGGTATTTATAATGAATGAATCCTAGTCAAGATTTTGATTGGATAGTTTCCCAAATATTGGGCGCTAAGTGAAAAGTTGACATTAGATATAAGTTATATTTGGGCAAATCTTAGCGTGTTTGAAATAAGAAAGTCCAATGTCAAAAACTCGGACCAGATGAAACGTTAGACTTTTTTATTTCAAATTGACCGACTAACAAAGTGAGCGAACACAACTGCATCGGCTCAAGTTGCAACATTCCACAGTACTACACAAAGAACAGGTGGATAGAAAAGGAGTAATATCATAGTACACAAAGTTGCGTAAGAGAATCAATAACCTGAAGATAACGGTTAGTGAAAATATTCAAGCCGCAGATGTCAATGAGTGAATACATCTACGCCACTGTAACCGATTTTCAGACATATCAATAAGAGTTCTCAACCCTTGATTCATGCCATCTCAGGGACCCCAACCAGGCAGTCTACATCTCACCTCACGGTTCAAGCCAACAGTCAGGGACTTGGTCTAGCACACCGATATTTGTCCAAATATAACTTATAAGTGATTATTATTCAAGATGATGACGAAGTTTGAATAAAAATTTGAGCAACATGACAAAATATAAACGAGTTGTAATCAAGATGGGTTGCGAAACAAGAAGTGCTTAGCAATATGAAATAGAAGTAAGAAGGAGGACAGTAGGAGCAAGAGCTTAACAAGCCTCCGGCTTTTCTATCAGAATCGCTAAAGGTTCAGCAATACAAAGAAGGCGGATGATCACTAACTTAACACCATGTAAACAATTTTGAAAGAGGTTGCTATTGAAATTGAATGACCAGTGTCTACAAGGTGTTCCATTATCACATTTCTTAAAGATCCACTGGTAACCTCTTTACAGCCAAGTAGGATAGCGTCATTGATCCCTTGTGGACAGGACCTTGTTTAGTGCCTATGCAATAACTAACTACTTTCACACATAAATTATACATTCCCACTAACAACAAAAAGTGTATGACAAATACGATTGTACAGCTGAGTGAATGAATTCGCCGAAAAGAGTCTCTTCCGCTGAACCACTTATTTTTTTCATTTTCTAATGTTTTGATGAGGATTTTCCCAGTTATGATTCATACTGTTGGGAATCAAACAAATTTATACATACCACTACAAACTATCGAATTCCAGAAGAAATAAATTCAGGCATAGAAAATATACATGTATGTGTACCAAAATCATTGAGTAACAATATCGCCAGCACACCTTGTAAACACCAAAGAAAATTCAAAAAACAAAAACAAAATAGGCTAACAAAGTAATATAGGGAAGGAAGTAGCAAGATGATGAGAAAAACAAAAGTGATCACAATACACATGGTCAATTAATTCTTTCTTTATTTCCCTAATTTCTCTTTCTTCTTTTCACCTTGAAAACCAATATCTTTCTTCTCCTTGTCGTCTACATTGTCATCATCATCATCATCATCATCGTACCATGATTCAACATGTTCTTCTTCGAGATCCTCCTGCTCATCATCATCATCGTCTTCTTCTTCTTCCTCCTCCTCTTCCTCCTCATCCTCTTCATCTCCAATGAGCTTCACTGAATCGAGTTCACTGTCTGCTGATTCATTCTCATCGTTATTAACAGCATTATTACTTTTAGACTGTGATATCTGACTGACAAGTGGGATAGTATGCACTTTCTCAATAGTGTTCGATAAGTTTATGTTGGTGACTGAAGGAATAAGTGGTGAAGCAGAAGGCGGTATTTCAAGTAATGGTTCAGGAGATATTGACATATTTTGCATTTCTGCATGCAGATCTCGATCACTTGGTAGGACTTGAGATGGATAAGCGGAAGCAGGCATTTGAGAACGAATTTGTCTATCGTGTTTCAACCATTTTTCAATAGATAAAGCCTCCTACAAATAGGAAAGACAATTGTATTTCTATTTAAAACAAGTCAATTTAAAAATGAAATTTTACTCTAGTTGTGTTATACGTTAATGCTGTTCACTGTCCTTATAGGGAAAGTAGACTGACAAAAATCAACATTTCACAGTACTATACAGAGAACAGGAGAATAGAAGAAGAGTGACATTCAAGATGAAGTTGTGTGAGAGAGTAAACAATCTGAAGATAACGGTTAGTGGAAATACTAAAGCTCCAGAAAATGTCAAAGAGTGAATACATCTGCGTCAATGACCGACTTCCTGCTTTGTCACCGAGACTCCCCAAACCTAACCATTGATTCCTATCGACTTGGGTATCCTAGCCAGGTAGTCTACATCTCCCCCACACGGCTCAGACCAGCAATAAGAGACTTTATCGACTGGTGCCACATCTTGTTCTGGCCATCCAGCATGCGCAGTACATATTCAAGCCATCTCAGTCGACGAAGGTTCACAACTTAATCAGTCGAATTGTCTGTCTCGCTTTATACCCTTCAGACAAATGATAAATGTCGAAGAATAATAATATGTACAAAGATTAAAATTTACTTTATGGGCTTAGAAAACGGAGAGTTTAAATCACCTAAGGATATGCAGCGCAGTCCAGTTATGATGTAAAGCACAACTTGGAAAAAACAATTGCGCATCAATTTGCGAACCTGGATAAGATCGGTTCCTGTCTAGTGTTGAGGCATCTCAAACTGAGACGGAACATCTCTGCAGCACCCTTGTATCTCTGTGATGATTCGCTACTTGATGAAAAATATCGTCACATCATCTGATTTCTAACCAGTAATTTACACAAATGAGTAATTCCACATACCACGTCAAAATTTCTTGGACTGATGGACCAATAACACTATTCTTATAATAAGGTAGGCAATCGTTTTTGGAGTATGACAGGGTGAGAACAACTGATTTCAATCACGTACAGCCTGGTACGAAAACTAATCCCGTAACACAGTTATATTTAAAACCAACAAGAGGAGAGAGAGAGAGAGAATCAAAAGAAGAAAAGGTGCTGAAACAAACAAAACTAGAAAAATCGAATCCCTGAAAATGTAAATGCGGAATAAGGCTACAACTATAAACTACCCACCATTTTAAGTACTACTGATAAATTACAAGTAATATACTGATAATCGTTAGATGTAATCAGTGAATTACGTTATAACACTAAAGTAACTACAAAACAGATTCATCTTGGTGACTAGCTGTGGAACCCAGGATACGCATTTCGTTCTTTTCGGGGACCCGCTTATCAGCTGGATGTAGTCGAATCCTAGTGAGCGGTATGATTCCCCTTGAGACTGGAATCACGTACCCATAGCCTTAAATGCCAAAGCGTTATCCATTAGGCAGGCCACTGAGGGAACACGTTAGTCACCATTTGTACGAAAATATAACTACAAAACACATTTGGCAATGAGAAACATACCTCAAAGTCAGGGAATAAATTCGGATAATCTTTGGGATTAGCTAGTGAATTAGCAATTTTTGCACTAGCCTTATTTGACTTATCCAACCAATCACGCCATTGTTCAACCAATTCCGGTATATAACTTGGTAAATAGGTGCGAGCAAAGAATGCAGCTTCAGGGAATCGTTTTGCACTGGTTAATAACTAAAGGGTTGAAATAGGAAAGAAAAAAGTCAAAATGAACAATGAGACCGAAATATATGTGTGTAGTATGTTATGAGGAGACATCTATCAATAACAAAGCATGACTATATTATCCATTGAAACTAATACACAATGGAAAAGAAACTCACTTCAAGACAACCTTCTAAATCTGATATTAGAAAACGAGCTAAAAAGGCGATATTATCATTCGATTTTATAGCAGCTTCTTTTCCAATCCATTCTAATAATTTTCTATTCCCCGAACTAGTTGCCAATAACATTAGACTAGCATAATCGTCTGTGCGTGATAGATACTCTTCAGCAAATTTAAACTTGCATACTTTACAAGCAGCTTCAGCCAACTTTTTGGGGAAGAAAAAAGAAAGAAGTCGTTAATAAGGGTTATAACTTCAGTGCAAATTATTAATGATAAATAAGTTTGAAGGATAGAATGAATCAGTCTATCTATTCACATTGGTTGTTTGTCTAGATAAACTTTTATAAAATTATATAATTTGGGGGTTTGGAGAGATCTAGTGACTTTTCGAATTGGTGATCATCATAGACTGGGCATCGGTTGGAGAACATTAGAAACCTGGGGGCACTGGACAGCTGTCTCGTCCCACTATAGGACTCCTCAGCAGTGCGCACCCAAGACCTCGCTCTGTCAGGGATCGAACTCAGGACCTTCAGGTTTCGTGGCTAGCACGTTACCAGTGAGTCAGAATCCAACGGTCCATGTTTCCAACTCCTGCCAGTTGACGACACAATGCCACCATCACCTTATGTCCCTAGCGGAGTCATGGGTGCGCACTGCTGACGAGACCTTTACTAGCACGAATTGGCTGCTGTCCAGTGCTCCTAGGTTTTCAATGTCCCATCAACTGTCAGTCCGTGATGAACACCAACTTGAAAAAAACTAAATAAACTCGGTCAGGAATTACAACAAAGTCAGCAGAAATTATTGTCGATTAGTGTGTGCATAAAACTTTAGTCATCCCGAGAATAAATTCAATCGGAAGAATAGTCGACTGTTTATAAGTATTTACGACATCTTATGGTCGACGTTGTTAGGGATGCATATATCCCTTATATTCTATGCTTACAGTTTGTATATATTTGAACTGGTTTGTTTCGCGTTCTCCTCCAGCGCATAGGTCATATTTCGTATGACCCGCTATTGTTCTGATTGGCTCCTGCCTCTTTAAATGTGTTAATTATTACATGTCTTTCAAAGTTACTGTGAACTCTATAAATAGGGTCCCTTCTTAGTCAGAGATACTATAAACTAATTTCCAGTCTTTCGATTTGTCTTTGCGAATCACTCGGGTTGAATCGTTTCAATCCTCGACTATCAATAGTTAAGTATTTTTGTTCGTTCTCACAACTCCGCATCATAACAGAAGTGTTGACAGCATTTGACCTTTATTTCGCGACTTGTTATCATTTCTTCCTTTATTCAGTAACTCATTTTTTTGCATTTCGCCCACATGAACAAACCTCACCATCAACACTAATTATATATATATATATATATATATATATATATATATATATATATATATATATATATATATATATATGGTTCTTATTAACGAATACGATTCTTCAATGACCGACTACACTTGTTTAGTTGAAGATTTGTTTGTTTATATAAACTTATTGGGCTGTTCTATTCTACATTTTGACCAGCTGAATACTACTACTACAGGTCGACCGTCTACGAATGACTGATCGACTTTCTTCTATCTATGAGGCAGTGTATTCGATAATCGACTACTGGAAGAATAACAACATGCATCGAAAAAGTAACCCCATTCTTTTACCTGTAAGCGAATATTCAGTCAATACACAAAATATATGATTGCATTTATTCAGAACCCTTCAACATATCAAAGTATATGGGATAATGATTACTTTTGCATAGTTATCAATCAACACAATAACTATTTTTAAAGACACTCAAGTGAATAGCGTTACGTCATAAAGTCTACGCAAGCTTTATTTATTGGAATCGATTTTTGAGAATATTCCTCAATGAAATTAACCGGTAAATGGTAGATATCTGCTGCTAGGAATATTCTTTTATGGTTGGATGTCATGTATAAATCTTGAATCTCTCCCCTCCCCCCCCCCCACATACGTTTTCCGTAGATCAGCTCTAGAAATGAATTTTTTTCGACCTGACTTTCATACCAAAACGGAATCCTGAGTAACATATAAAAATTGTAGTAGTGAAGCGATTTTCTTAAACAAAATATTCCTCATCTTATTCTGCTCTCTATCAAAGCGAAGAGAGAGAGAGAGAAAAAAAAATCACAGTCTCATAAAATACATTTATTCACCACCTAATTGTCAATATACATTTAACATTGAACTAACCTGTTTCCATTTAGCTTCATTTGTTTTTGGATCACCGTCCATAGCGATCTGTTGACATAATTCAAAATCGCCTAATTGTAATGCCAATTCAAATTTATGATCCATATCGGTTGTTACACGCATAGCTTGTTTTTGATAGCCTTGTTTCTCTAAGAATTGTGCAATCTTTGTATACTGATCTTTGCTTATACTAGGTAGGATAGCATCAGCTGTGTTAAAATCACCGCGCATTACAGCTGTTTCATATTCTAAAACACTTAACAGTAAAGTGTAGCTAACAATCTGAATAGATGAAGAAGAAGAAGAAAAATTGTATCATTCAAGAAGTGAAGCTTGAAAGTCATCGCATTATAAAAAATCGTTAACTTGGGATAATAATTTTTTTTTAAGATACAAGTATTAACTGATTTGGAACAGTTTCTATTTTGTCATTTCAATCACTCATATATATTAAATTGGAAAAAAGAAGCAAAATATGCATTGAAACACTCTTCATTGGTACATCAGCCAGTCAGACAGACAGATAGACAGCATCAACGAAGAACCTAATACACAATTGGATCTGTTCAATGTGCCACATTTGCAAAGAACAAGTGGATAGAAAAAGACTGATATCAAAGTAGATAAAGTTGCATAATAGAACCAACCAAGGTTATTGTGAATATTGGAAGCATCAGATGTCAAGGAGTGATTATGTCTGTGCCATTGTGACCGATTTTCAGCCATGCCACTAAGAGTCAGTTCTCAATCGAGTAGTCTACATTTGCCCACACGGCTCAGGCCACGATGAACCCTTTTCCATCCTAATCCAACTTCCCCTAGCATGTATGGCACGTTGAGGTAGGCGGTCACTCAGTATGCGAAGGAAATATCAAGGCCACCACAGTCGAATAAGGTTCGCAACTTCATCAGTCGACTTGTATGTCTTATCACCTAGTATCCTTCGTCTGACTTCAACATTGCTCACACGGTGATCTCATTCAAATGCGATCAGTGCTACAAATACATCTATGATCACAACAAGTATAACCGCTTCTACTTTTGACGGGTATATTTCATAGTAGCACAACAGGACACAACGGACTGAAGTATACTCGTCCTTTGATAGATAGTCAGATATCTCGCCAGTCAGCGTCACAGACGACGAAAGTTAGCAAATACCACACGAGCCTTCTGTATCCGAGCTCAGATTTCGTTCGCAAGCATCCCATTTGAGCTGATGTAACTCTTCAAGTGATGCGGTCAACGCATCCCACCGCTTTAAGCTGGAAGTAGTTGCAGACCAATTCTAGAGCATCATTTTACATTTTAAACGTGAGAGACATATGCTCAAAGCATCTGGAAGTCCCTGCATTTGGCCAGCGTCTTCACCGCCTACATACACCAAGTCAACCAGATGATGTCGACGGATTAGACTAATCCATGTGAAGTTAGGCGTACTTACGGTTATGTCCACTACATCAGTACTTGTGGACACATGGTGCAAATCTTGTTTTGAACATATGTAAACCGGTGTGCTTGTATTAACCGTACAGTAAAGTGTTTGTTACAGCATAACACAGTATAGACTATTTCACGAGAGAAACTCTTCATTAGCCATTCGTGGTATAACTCAAAGTACATCGGATTGAACTTTCTTTAAATGAGCTAAACGGTTAAGAATAAGTCGAATCGAAATCTACTATGTAATTTTATTCATTTTCGTGCAGTAGAAAATGAGCCACTCCCACTGTCTAAGGATTAATGATACTTACTACCTGGCTGCCAAAATCTCGGAAGGTAGAACAAAGTTGGAACCTGTGACCCAGAGTGTAGAAGTCGAGTGCTTAGACCAATGAACCACAGCTTCAGAATACCGAGTACACAAATTTCATCGTTCGAAGCTGACTGCTAGTACACTGTTTTTTAGCACACTGCAGTTCAACATCTGTGGATGGATCACAGTACGACAGTTAATAATATTCCCCCTCCATCTTATTACCTACACTCAAACGACTAGTTGGGATACTTTTTGAATACATTTAAGAGGAACTTGTCCCCAAGATAAGAGAAAAAGGAATACCAACAGACACTATCCACCAACTTTGTCTGTATACAGAAAAATACAGAATGAAGCACTTGATCTAAAAACTTTCACTGAACTGTTAGGGACACTCCAGGACGTCATGACCCAGAAAATGCCCCTAGAAAAACCATCACCGAAGACGAGAAAGTCGTTGGAATTATTCATCTGGATCTATCGATCTGAGCATGATAAAAAGGCATGTGATAATTTAATAAATACTACTTAGAAATCGGACCAGATGGATGGATGAGATACAAAAATCTGGTCCTTTCAAGAGCATCACCAGGGCAACAACCGTAGTCTTCGAAATGCTTCTGGACAACATAATTTAAAAGCCTTTAAACCCCTTCACTTGACCGAGTTGTGATAGATATAAATTAGCTTATCACTAAAATATATACTAATTTATGATAAAAGAACGTACCTGTAAATCTCTATCGCCTAAAAACAAACGATTTTCTTTAGCCAAATAGCCCAAAAGATACATTGGACGGTCCAACAAAGCTAATGTGACCACCTCACCTCCAACATAATAACATAAACGATTGGCATGTGTTGTGAATATAAATGCATCACCAAACCAGCGACCATTACGAACTTGAGCAGTGACCTCACCATTCGGTATAAGCTATTGAAAGAGAACAAATTTAATAGAAATAACATAGAATATATAGACGGCTCATTTGGGATATCTCACGTGAATGAAATGACATTACGAAGATGAGACACATAAGTGCGACTGCGTCATTGTCATTGATTTCGAACCAAATCATAAGGCGTGTCCTACCACCACCGATTTTGGCTGTCTTAGGAACGCCCAACCTGGAGACTAACACTTGTCCACACGACAGTTAAAGACTTCATGGGATAGTGCTATTTTGTGATCGACAGAGCGAAACCAACTTGATAAGTCGTCGTGCACTAACATATATCAATTTAATGAAGCTACACTTTTCACCTCATAGCATTACACCATAGACTGATCACTAATATGCTTCTTCCAACCAAATCCAGGGTTACTAAACAGTCAATAGTGCTGAAGTCCCCGGAACGACATTAGTAATACGTGTTGAAGAGGTTTAGCGATGCGAAACCTTGAGGACGATCAATGAGGTTGCAGATGATGAGATCAAAGTCATCCGTTACATCTGTCTACAAGGATGCTGACGCTGCGGCGACTTTTGATAAATTATGATGAAGATGGTTGGAGTAGATGAATATCTCGTTCGGAGAGCGTTATACCCATGCCACTTGGGCATGATAGCCACCGAAGGGCATTGGATGCGAACCTCGGTGGGAACAACATCACTCGGCACTGTGGTGCAAGTACATCCAGCTAACGACTCCCAAATAGGACGAAACGCGCATCCTGGACTCCTCTGCTAGTTACCAAGATCATTGTAATAGTAGGTTTGTTGTTAGGCTAAAACTTGTACGAAATGCAACGGTCTCAACAATCCTTTTATTTTTTTAGAAGGGCATTTTTCTATCGACGAAGTTCTATTAACCGATCTGACAATCAAACGTATGATCATTTGGCTTTTTGACGGAAATCCGACGCGAAATGATAGTTTTCAGAGATTCAAGCATCTTTAAAGGATATAAACAGTAATACTGTATTCAATTCGGAGGTTTATGGGAATTTTTTTTATTGATTTCAGGTTGGTATTTATCATGGACTAACATCAGTTGGAGGGACGTTGGAAACCTGGGAGCACTGGAAGGTTGTTTCGCCCTTGTATGGGACTCTCAGCAGTACACCATCTACGGGTCGAACCCAGGACCTTCAGGTTCTGTGGCCAGAACGCTGTCATCGAGCCACTGCATTGGAATCTAATGGTCCATATTTCCTACTTTTGTCAGTTCACGATATAGCGCGACCTCCATTCAATGCAGTGGTTGAGTAACTGTTCTCATATTCAACTTAGTTGGTCCCATTGGTCATGACTACTCATTAGGACTTCGGGAAAAATCACCTCTCAAAGCGAGTCATCAATGAGTACTAGAATTATACTGTATACTATAACAGAAACCGATAGTGTTTGGAACAAAACTGTATGTATGAAATAAGCATTCCGTTGACTGAATTTCTTCACACTGGGCATATAAATACACTAAATAATGAAAGCAGAGAAGAAATCAACAGTATTCACTTCTTGTTAAGTAATTCGAACTAACTTGAAAAGCTTTTTCATATCCATCTGTATCTTCATGATTATTGATCGGTGAGTCTAAATCGGGTACAGCATCAGCTGAATAACGCAGTATGAAAAATGCATCATTTGTGCATAGAGCAACTAATTGACCAGATTCATTCCAATAAACACCCTTTGGACTATTATCAATTCGTCGAATTAAACGACCAGTTGACCAATCATAAAATGTTAAACCAGTCAATGAACGTACACCCAATAAATGACCACCAAATATTTGTTCAGCACCATAATCAAGTTTAAATGTACGTATTTCTTTCATTTGTTTAAAAATCTTCATTAAGAAAGAAAAAGAAACGTATAGAATAACTAAAATCATGTAAATAATTGAATAGTAACTGAGAAACGAAATATGAACGATTCATTAGTACTACCACTAAAATAATTGGATAATTGGTGCTGACATATTCACTGCATATATGTATGTAAGGAAGAGACTATGGTGAGATATTCACGTAGCTATGCTCATCGAATAGTGTCCATTAAGGCTGCCCATTGTCTTCATTTTTATTCAATTTTATCATAGATATTCTTATTGAGGTCTCCCTCCAGTCACCAGACCACAAAGAGGCTGACCTAATCACAAGAGAATTTTCTTTAGACCTAGAATACACAGATAACATCGTCCTATTAGCTGAACACGCTGACAAGATGCAGAACCTTCTGGATACACTAAGTGGGAGTTTGAGAATGTTTCGGTTGCGTTTGTCACCACCCAAATGCTAATTGTTGCTCCAGGATTGGTCTTCAATGGCGCCTGATAATAGACAGTGAGTGTAGTGGTTGAGTATGTAGACCACTTCCCATACCTGGGGAGTGTGGAACAACCCCGGTGGCTCAATGGCTAATGATATAACTGCACGAATACAGAAGGCTCGACTGGTTTTCGCCAACATACACCACCTGTGTGGCCACCGTGATATCCGATTGCCTATTGAAGGTAGCTTTTACTGCACTGCAGTTCACCCTGTTCTACTCCATGCCACTGAAACATGGGTATTGGAGGGGAAAAACACGAAAAGCTTTTAAGTGCTTGATCACCTTTGCCTTCATAGTATAGGCCGCATACCGTGATGTCACCATGTGAGTTGAGTAACGCAGAAGTCAGGCGAGGAGTTTTAGGGAAGAAAGGTGAATCAGTTGACACAGTTGTGAACCTTCATCGACTGAGATGGTTGGGACACGTGTTACATATGCCTAGTCGCCGTCTGCCTCGCCACACAATGTTGGCAGAAGTCGGTTCAGGCTGGAAAAAGGCTCTTGACTCTCGGTCAGACTGATACATGGTATCAATGTATGAAGTCTTTGACTGTTGATTTGAGCTATGTGGGGCGATGCAGACTGGGTGGTTGGGGTAGGAAGGACAAGAGGAATCAGTGGTTGGAGACTCTAGGTGATATGGCTCAAAACCGACGTCATTGGTGCAGATGTATCCCCACACACATCATCCTCACCTTAACGTCATTACAAATCTCACCATTTTCTCACTCTTTCTTTCTTCCTCTCTTTTAGTACTTTATATTTCTTTTGAATGGATTTTCTTTTCTCCACCTTCCACTTCACTGCCTTTTTACTTGAAATGATGATATGAGCTGTGGCAACTCGAACCGTTACGCAGTAATGACTAGTCCTATGTTGACTTGGATGATGATGATGATGATGTAAGGAAGAATGAGATCTTAACGACGAAACGTGTAAATAATCCACTCCAAGGGTTATACAAGAAGGATTCAGAGATAGCCCTAGATTAATATCTAAAGTGATCGTTAAAAATGACAATACTACGACCAAGCTGAATCTTCAAGTAGTCAATGTAGGTATATTACAACATAAACGTTAACTTTGTGTGACTTGCTACTTGCCAATTAGCAGAGGTGTGGCTCATTGGCTTACGCAATCGACTGTCAACCAGTGGGTCAGGGGTTGAAACACCCCTCCACATATCGAGGTTCGATGAATCAAGGGGTAGCACTATCCTTCACACAATAGGTTTGGCACATGGCCTACTGCAAGAACGTGGAAGAACACCTGCTGAGTGTTGTGATCTCGATTTTCAATCAGTGGTGAAATTCAGTGTGAAGATTACGATAAAGGCGAGGTCTGAATGAATCTACGTCATTGAGATCGATTCTGAGCCATATCACTTACAGTCTTGCCGTGTGGAACCCGAGACCAACAGAGGCTTCATAGACTGATCCAATGTTTCACTTTCGTCTTTTCTAACCTTTTTCCAACCTAAACACCTATTCCAACTAACATCCAGCAACAAGGTAGATAGTGACAAGGCATGCTTAACACATGTCCCAGTCATCTCAGTTGATGAAGCTTTATAACCTTGTCGACTGACTTTCCTCTTTTCTACGTTTGAATTCGATGTTATTTGCGTGGTGAAACCAAGACACACGGTCTATGCTACGAAGGTATGAGTGGTCAGACACCTCAAGTGTCCTCATTTCCTCTACCTTCAAAGACCATATTTTTAGAGTGATGTAGTAGAGCAAAGTGAACCGCAGCGCAGTATATGGTGTAGAGTAGTAAATACTATTCAGGTGTTTTGTATCTGCGCAGAGACTTCGCTGACCACTGACCCACCAGGGTTGATCCAACTTCCTAAACAAGTGAAGTGATCAACGCTTTTAACCAATACATTCCCTATCGTTAAACAAGGCATTAAGGAAGGCCAGTAGGTGGGTGGGGAGAATCGCAACCGAAACATTCTTGAACTGCTACTCAAGGTGTCCAGAAGACTCTACATCTAGCTAGGATCTTCACTCAGCAGGACCAGGTCATCTGCATATTTTATATCCCCCAAGGATTCCCCTGTGACAAGATCAATTCCTGTGAAATCAGACGACGAAAGGGAGATCTCCATAGGTACGTCTATGATAAAATTGAATGAGAATGAGGAAAGTAGGCATCCTTGATGGTTACCACTCACCATACTCAACTCATCTGACATCTCACCATACCCTCAAATAAACCTACAAGTGTCCGAGTACAGTGCCTTCAATAGAGTGATATACTTACTTCGCACCCTTTTCACTGAGAAACACTGTTATGAGACCTCCCGATCGACAGAGTAGAATGCCACCTTCCCACTGAGGAAAATAGCTAGTGTCGCGTGTTGGTAGGTGCCTGTGCTCCAGAACCTGGTTAAGGTTAAATATCTGGTTAACACACCCACAGGCTGGTCTGAAGCCTGCCTGGTTTTCCAGGTCTGCTGTTCCCGAGCTTCACTAGGATGCCTAGTGATAACAGAACCGAGAATCTTAGATACTATGTTGGTCAGATTGATAATCGGTGATTAACACCAGTCAGAAGGGATCATAACTGACTCCCACATGATAGCTTCCAATTTAGTTAACCTGACCACAAATCCACGACGACTGCCTTCAAATACCTTGGTAGCAGTACGTCTGACTCTCCTGCCCTTCTTTGTTTCAGATTAGTTACAACTTTCTACTTTTGTAAATGTCCCGGACCTTGTCTCGATGTTCCATTCAGGGTCTAACTGGATAGCTAGCAACTGGAGACTAGCTGAAGGTCAGCTGAACTGTTAGTTGAATTGTTCTGGTCATTTTTCCAGACATCTGCCCGTTTATCTCCCCTTTAGTTTCATTAACCAGTGGCCGTTTTGTTACCAATTTCCTTATTGTCTAAATAGCTATCTACTGTTGCCTAACGCCACTGCCCTTTCCACGCTTTTAGCGTTAGCCTCCGCGGTCATTGCGTAGACTTCTTATCAGCCTACATTAGAGTTGCTTCAGTTCTTCATCGTGCTCGAGGCCTGCAGAGACGCGTTCACGTGTATCCATTAATTCAGAAGCTGCCAAGACCCTCTGGACCTTTTTAACTATACTCTGAGGGCTGGATACTATCTTAACGCTGTTTTTACAACAGACCTGGAGATGACACCACGATTCTTCAGGATTAATGTTGTTGTGTTCGAAAAACTGTCTATCCAGTTTCTCGCTGAAAACAACATTGTCATTCTCATCGTCAAACAGCACTTGCAATGGTCCCGCTGTCGTGGTTTTCCCACAACCATTTAGATGCAAACATACGCCTGCTCGAAACAACCCAGGGTCACTGTACAAGCATGTGCCACAAAAAAGTAGTAATCTCCCACCAACTCTCTCCAGGGATAACTGGTAGCAGTATAGTTGATGTGTCCACCGCCGAGTTGGGGTTAGTGAACACCACGTCAAACAGTGTCTCTCTTTATATCTGAAGTTCGTGCTGACCAGAAATAGATGGCCCTCTAAGTACAGTTGTACCATGTAATCGCTGTTATATGTTCGTAAAGCCGGGATTTCAAAATTGCCACCTGAGTGCCTTCCTCCTTGACTTAGCTTAACCAACTGCCTATTGAAATCACCTGCTATAACAATCACATCTACACGTTTAGCCTTCATTAGGTTAGACAATTTTTGACAGGACTCGTACTTAGTTTCATCCAAACTGCAGCCAGTGGGTGCGTAAACACAGATTACAAAGAGAAAATGGCGAGTTTTACCACGATCTCTAGTCTTCAGTGCAACACCCAGTCAACCAGCTTGCAGGCGACTGTCAACTGAGATTTAATTGAGCAGTACACTTCCTAATTTAGTATTTAATGTTATACTTATACTTGCAAGACTGCGACAAACAGTCACCGAATCTCCCGAAAGTCGAAGGATGAATTCTGCGGATTCACAAATTGAGCGGGTGAGATTAAGTGAAAAACCGCACTTGGGTCTTCTATATGCACCTCACCAATACAACACACGTTCATGGTGCGAGGAGACGGAGTTTTAGCTAGCGAAGTTTATTGGCCGACTGAAAGGAGGGTGTGGAGATTGAAAGCTCCAATGTGCATATTCAAGTGTGGTTTCAAGAGATAGAGAGATTCCGTTCCGCAAACTCAGATTGTTATCAAGAGCTGTAGAGCTAGACCAAATTAAATATGATTTAGGAATGTTAACTGAGAGGCATGAAGGAAGATTATAAGTTCAGAATGTAAAAAGTCGATAGTGGGTCTGACGGGGCTTCAGTGCTGACAGAGTTTTGAGGGTGGTTGACATTTTATGGCTCCCGATACAGTGGAATACTAGTTTTCTCTGAGTTAACTGAAAAAGAAAGGTTGGTGTGTAACCACAGAACCCATGGGACATTTGTTTGAGGCTGGCCAGATAAAGGCTTTTAGAAGTTTTATAGTTTCGTTTGCCTTTTAAAAATCATCGGCACCGGTATACCACAGGGTACAGGGGAGTGTGTTATTTTTAGGGTTGACCTCTCCTAACCCCACCCTCCCTTAGAGAAGGCAGCATCAACGGTCCCGTTGGTCATCTGTGGTCACCCTCCGTCAAGTTAACAGTACGTCTATAACAGTAACTGCTTTTTGTCTTACCATTATCCAATTAACCTTTGTGGCCCGGTAGGACCTTGAGGGGACAAGTGTTCCACCAGCGTAACCCAACCACTATGTTCAGGTAGCAGCTGGTCGTCGATCAGTACAATCTACTATTAATAGGCAATCGGGTATATCATCGGTGTTATACTTGGCATAAATTATCGAAAGCCAGTTAAACCTTCTGTATCCCCGTCAAAAATTCGTTGGCCACTAACCCACTAGCACTAATCCAAACTCCCAAGTAACTGAAGTTTCCAATTCGGTCAACTACGTCACTTCCTATTGTGAAACGAACTTCATGTTCTAGTGAATACACTCGGTGCAGCTGAGAGACAGAAAGAGAGATGAGACGAGGTGAGTAGGTAAAGTTTATAGTAGACTATATTAAGCGTATGAAATGAAAACCTGAACATACCTTGACAATAGCATTGCTCTCACGTACAGCATACAATCCAGCATCTGACTGACACCATACAAATTCTAAAGCTTGACCAAATGTTTTATTTCTCAAAGCCATAGCTGTATATACTATATACTCTCCATCTCCATAAACAACCACATAACGTCCATTTGCATTATGTTCAATAGTTTGTGGATATATTTCACTTGTACCCATATCTTTGAAGGTAATAGGAAGACGTTCGCCATCCTTATAACGTAGGAAATCAACAAAGAGCAAATAATAATCAATAAAAGCTGAGAATTCTTTAAATGAATATGCTTATAAAGTTACATTTATGCTTAGTAAGAGTAGGCTTGGTGTGACTGCTAATTTGCGTACAAAAACGACTAAAAATCTTATTTGACAATGGTAAAAGTATGATCAATATTGAGTGTATTCACCTGAATGGCATCACCACCTTCTCCACTGAAGTTTAAAGATCGTAGATTTGCTTGAACTAGTTCAGCGTGTCTCGCACAAACCAACTTTCCAGAAGAATCCATAGACATAGCAGGTTCATCTCGACCCAAAGATATCACTATTGTACCTTCATCGTATCCAATACCTACTACTTGCTTCCCTCTTTGACATGTCATAGTCCAAACACGTTCTAAACCATAGTTTAGTGTAGATTCTAAACGATAAGTGTTTGCATGCCAAAATCGTACAGTGCCATCTTCAGATCCTGTTAGGATGATAGGCAATTCAGGATGGAATAGAACTGAGCTGAAAAATTTTAGAAATACGACAAAGTGATTGCTAAGATTAAGAATTCGATAAACTAATTAGTACGGAAATGAATAGTGATTTTAAAAGGTTAGCGTAATCAGCCTACATGAAATTCAAGTTACAACCTAAAGGTAAGTTTTCAACATTGACTAAAAGTAAGTGAAATGTAACTTGATTGAGGAAAACGGGACGGGTTTGTGTACTAAACTATGGGTCGCAGTTGACGTTTAAAAGCTGTTCAGGTCAAGATAAATGAAGCGGAGTTTGAACCAACGACTCACTGCTTGAAACTGCCAAACCATAGCTCCACTAAAATAAACTGAAAAACTAACCAATTCGGAACTACTTAACAGTACATGGCCTCTTGATTCCTTCCGGTATGGAATTCAAATCACTGATATCTCTCTTGAAGTGGACGTTAACACAGACTCTGTCACAATCCAACACTTTCCAAATTCAGACAGCTTATGGTCTAGGAAGATCTTTTTTGGGTATATCCGTTTTAACTCCCGACTTGGTAGGCAAGTTCTGGAGTTCCACCCTATCCCTTTAATTGAGTCCTAAGAATTAGGTGATTATAGATATGTGTGCAATACTACACCTGAATAGTATTTACTACTCTACACCATATACTGCGCTGCGGTTCACTTTGCTCTACTACATCACTCTAAAAATATGGTCTTTGAAGGTAGAGGAAATGAGGACACTTGAGGTGTCTGACCACTCATACCTTCGTAGCATAGACCGTGTGTCTTGGTTTCACCACGCAAATAACATCGAATTCAAACGTAGAAAAGAGGAAAGTCAGTCGACAAGGTTATAAAGCTTCATCAACTGAGATGACTGGGACATGTGTTAAGCATGCCTTGTCACTATCTACCTTGTTGCTGGATGTTAGTTGGAATAGGTGTTTAGGTTGGAAAAAGGTTAGAAAAGACGAAAGTGAAACATTGGATCAGTCTATGAAGCCTCTGTTGGTCTCGGGGTTCCACACGGCAAGACTGTAAGTGATATGGCTCAGAATCGATCTCAATGACGTAGATTCATTCAGACCTCGCCTTTATCGTAATCTTCACACTGAATTTCACCACTGATTGAAAATCGAGATCATAACACCCAGGAGGCGTTCTTCCACGTTCTTGCAGTAGGCCATGTGCCAAACCTATTGTGTGAAGGATAGTGCTACCCCTTGATTCATCGAGCCTCGATATGTGGAGGGGTGTTTCAACCCCTGACCCACTGGTTGACAGTCGATTGCGTAAGCCAATGAGCCACACCTCTGCTAATTGGCAAGTAGCAAGTCACACAAAGTTAACGTTTATGTTGTAATATACCTACATTGACTACTTGAAGATTCAGCTTGGTCGTAGTATTGTCATTTTTAACGATCACTTTAGATATTAATCTAGGGCTATCTCTGAATCCTTCTTGTATAACCCTTGGAGTGGATTATTTACACGTTTCGTCGTTAAGATCTCATTCTTCCTTACATCATCATCATCATCATCCAAGTCAACATAGGACTAGTCATTACTGCGTAACGGTTCGAGTTGCCACAGCTCATATCATCATTTCAAGTAAAAAGGCAGTGAAGTGGAAGGTGGAGAAAAGAAAATCCATTCAAAAGAAATATAAAGTACTAAAAGAGAGGAAGAAAGAAAGAGTGAGAAAATGGTGAGATTTGTAATGACGTTAAGGTGAGGATGATGTGTGTGGGGATACATCTGCACCAATGACGTCGGTTTTGAGCCATATCACCTAGAGTCTCCAACCACTGATTCCTCTTGTCCTTCCTACCCCAACCACCCAGTCTGCATCGCCCCACATAGCTCAAATCAACAGTCAAAGACTTCATACATTGATACCATGTATCAGTCTGACCGAGAGTCAAGAGCCTTTTTCCAGCCTGAACCGACTTCTGCCAACATTGTGTGGCGAGGCAGACGGCGACTAGGCATATGTAACACGTGTCCCAACCATCTCAGTCGATGAAGGTTCACAACTGTGTCAACTGATTCACCTTTCTTCCCTAAAACTCCTCGCCTGACTTCTGCGTTACTCAACTCACATGGTGACATCACGGTATGCGGCCTATACTATGAAGGTAAAGATGGTCAAACACCTGAAACCGTATTATAAATTAGGTATGAAGTGGTAATGGTTCTTTATCTGACAATAGTTTCTGAAAATATGATATGATAGAACGATGTTGGAATTTTGAAATAAATTACAGAGGAAAAGTAAACAGCTGTATCATCATACTTATTTTAAAAACAAAGTCAATGTAACATGGGCACCGAGAAATGTGTTGCGACTGCCACAGTGTGAACATCCTTCCTGGTGAACAAAATATGTCAACGTTAGGTGTCATAATTCAACTACTGTTGGAAAATTTTCCAGCATTAACCCATCAAAGTAAATGAGACTGACATAAAAAGTTAATCAACTAGTTAGAATAAATGTTGATTATCTTTCTGTCTCAACCTTCCCACAGATGACTAATTGCACTGGAACGCTACATCATGTATTCCCACCAGACCGTGTTAGTTTTCACGCTGGCTATTTTCATAACAGCTTTAGTCCGTGAATATGAGAAAACTTTTCAGATGTGTTCATTTTACACCCAGTCAAGTATATAAATGTCAAAAATCCAAGATGAAAGTCGAAAGGATGATTTTCAAAACTTGAGATGGTCTTTTAGAACCGTTTCTTTTTACCGTATTGTGATTAAATTGATTTGAATTCATTGGCTCCAGCTCGTTCTTTAAACCAATCCTGGTTAAGAATGGATGTTTAGTGGTACATGGTAATCACAAGTTATCCGATGTCAAGTAATACCTAGGCGACCATAATCTCTCCTAAGATCCCAATTTTATGCATTATGAATATCGTCTACAACCATATTTCGACTAGGAACAAGTCCTTTTGCAAGACTCATAACAGCTGGCTCTGACCACGATTAACAACGAAAGCAGCCTAAACGCAAAATTACCAACAGTCTGCAATGATCGCTGGCAGTAGTGTATGGCAAAAGCTATGGATGGAGAAGAAATCAGAGTTAACTAATACCCGGTAACTATTTAGCCTTATTAAAGATAAAGACAAGAAGACGATGGTGAGTAAAACCATCACCCAAAAGGATGGGACCCTTATAATCTCTCAGGAGAGACGGATACAACGTTGGACAAAACACACTTTGAAGTACACACAGCTCAACTGGTATACGGCAATGCTTCAGCTGCCCAACAACCAACCCTAAAGTTGAGAAGATTGTTTCGAACCTGAAACGATGATAAACAGCTGGATGCGACAGTTTCCCACCTGAAATTTTCAAGGGAGAAGGTAGGAATTCACTAGGTAGAGTAGCAGAAATACTACGTAATGAATGGAAATCAGAGGTAGTCCCGTCAGACTGGTCTAAATCACTCATAATTCCAGTGTACTAGAAAGGATAGATTCTGCTTTTGGTAACCATAGGAGAGTTAGTTTGACTAAAATCGAGTCCGTTATGTCCTCTTATATGGCTATGAGACATGGTTGTTGAAAATTAAAAGACATGAAGCGGTTACAGATTTTTAGCATATGTATGTTCGTGGCAACGCCCATGTATGGCGGAATCATCATGTGAGAGCAATGTAGAAGGTAGGTGTAGGATACCAGGTAAGATAGACAAGTCAGTCGATAACGTTGTCAACCTTCATCGACTCAGGTGGCTTGAACATGTAGTACTCATGCCAAGCCACTGTCTACCTGAACGTGTAATGCTAAGGAAAGTTGGATTAGGTTAGAAGACAGTTCATACTGGTCAAACCAGAACGCGGCACCACTTCATGAGGCCTCTGACTGTTGGTCTGGGCCGTGTGGGGAGATGTAAACTACCCAGCTGGGGTCCCCGAGACGACAGCAATCACGGGTTTAGGACTCTTGGTAATATGGCAAATGAAGTAAAGTCATTCCTCTTCGCATATTAGATATGATTTATAATCTAGTACACAAAAGTGTACTTAACAAATTAGTTTAATCACGTAAAGTTTTTAAGCACCATCAAACCATTTGCTGAAAAGCTCCAGCAGGTAAGGATTGACACTTAATGTAGGAATGTGAATTCAGCCTCTTAGGTAAATGTCAGCTTTATTCCTTCAAGATCATATTTACAAGTGAATGATTTATTAAAGATGCATGACTGATTGACAAAATCACTTTAGAACCTCACATACAACTGCGCCGCCTCAAGTTGCCTACAATTCACAGTCGTACATAAACAACAGGTGGATAGAAAAGGTGATACCAAAGTAGACAAAGTTGCGTGAGAGAATCAATAATCTGAAGGTAACGGTTAGTGCAAACATTCAAGCTCTAGAAGACGTCAAGAAGTGAATACATTTGCGCCACTGTGACCAATTTCCAGCCATGTCACCAAGAGTCCTCAACCACTGATCTCAATTAGCTTGAGGACCTCAACCAAGCAGTCTACATTACCCCTACATGATTCAAACCAACATTAAGAAACTTCACCGACTGGTGCCACGTCTTGGCTTGGCCACCCTGAATCCTTTTCCAACCTAACCCAACTTCTCCTAGCATGGCAAGTCGAGGCAGATGGTGGCTTAGTTTGCACAGTACATGTCCTGGCCATCTCAGTCGACTAACTTGAGTAACAACAAACTAATTATTCACCTGAAGAGTTCACAGGTGATGAAGCGCAAAATTTACATACACATTCTGAAGATGAACAGTAAATCAATAGAAAAATAAAATCCTGGCCAATAAAATGGCTTCATTGATGTCTGGCACACTGAACCACTTGGTAGTGAAAAATGATCAACGTTTTAGGAACCTGTAGAGATTTTCGTAGGCACTACCAATACCTCAGTGGTATTCATACAAGTGTTAATAAAGGCGGTAAAAGAAGGATAGCTAAAGCGTGAATACAACTTGCCAGAACTATAAAATTATTCACTAGAATTTAAGTTACCTAATATTTTGAGCATGACCTTCAAGAGTTTGAACACATGCCTTGGTTTGGTAATCCCATATTTTGACAGTTCGATCATCTGATCCACTAGCCAAATAAGGTTTATCTCCTGATGTATAATAGTCTACACAATTGACTCCTCTTTCATGACCTTCCAAAGTGAAGTTTGGAGTACCCGAGCCCAGACTCCATACCTTTACAGTATGATCCATAGAAGCACTAGCAAAAGTGTTATTATCCTTCGGATTGAAGACTAATTGCATTACATAGTGATTATGACCTTCAAACACCTGTAAAGAGAAGTAACGAATGCAAACACTAGTGCAAAAAAAACGTACATTTGAACATCCTTTCACTGTTTACTCAATATACTAAAAATTGGTGTTAAAATTGTTACTCAAAAGTTCAGCTTTAATCAAGTAGTTCCATATTATATTGTTTATTTGACATGGCACACGGTGATGCGGTATTATTTACTGGATAAATGTTTAACAATGCTGGGATTCGAGTGGCATTTAAACCCACAACCTCGATCAGAGAGAGACTTTATAGGTTAAAAGATCCAGTAGAGCCAATTAAACAAAATAAACTAACCTATCAAATACCATGTAATGATTGTGAAGTCAAGCATATAGGTCAGAGCAGCCGATTAGGGTCAGTCAGAATAGCAGAGCACAAAATTTAGCGAAACACGACGGTGAACCCTACTAAGATTAGTAATTTAGACAGGAATTCGGCTATGACTTTGCATGCACTGACCCATAACCACACAACAGCGTGAGATAGGATGATAATTCTAAAATCCAATATTGAGCTGGGTGAAGGGAGAGATTCATCACATAATCTCTGTTTATTGAGTCAGCATCTAACACATGTAATAGGATTGATTCATCATATATTACAGATATCTGGAAAATTATACTACCATTAAGAATAAAAGAATGAAGAACCCCTGAACTGTACAAAGGAAGTTATAAAGTCGTATGACCATGAGCAATAAATTCTGCTAGAAACTTCATTCAGTAAATAATATTGTATCAATGTGTGCCATATTAAATAAAAAATCAAATACGGATTTATACTCGACTACAGTGCTCAAGTTTCACTCTCACTTTAATCAAGTAGGCTTTCGAATAATTACTTTCGACAGTTTAGGTCACTATACTAACTTTGCATCATGTCGCCGAATGTTAACCTCATCTATCTGTTTGTGTATGTATGATTGTTAAAAACAAACGGAACATTTAGTGGGCAATGAACAACAACTCTTGGACCAATACTTGCTGAGCCGATTGTGTCAAAGTTGGAAAACGGTGTTTGAAACCGAACATAGATTCAATGGTTAACTATTGCAGATGGGTTTGACGATGGATTTTTTGCCTGAGATGAAACCGAGGAAAAAGAAATACAGATGATTTTTAATAGGTCACATTCACGGATAATATTCTTTTATGAAATAAGAAATTCGAGTAAAATCTCTTCTTTACATGTCCTAACAAGGTCAGACGAAGAAGAAATCATTGCAAGCGTTTAGCAAAAAACACCTAGCAGTGGAAAGTATAAACACTTTATAGTTTTGTTCAACTAAGACGAAAAATGAACCTGGTTCGACGTCTTTCTGAATGAACAACAAGCATTTTTCTCTGATGCTACGACGGATAAAGAGTTACAGGATTTGATCGACACTTTCAGACAGAAGGGATACACCAGAAATTGATTAAGTATAATATGATAAGAACGGATAAGCCAGTCATCTTTCACTTATGACAAGAAGCAAATACTCATTAACCTTCAGTTTAAAGGTGATAATCTAGCCGAAATAATTGCAGGTAGACTCCAACGTTCATTAAAGAAGTTTTGCGCAGCCACTTTGAGACTGGCGTTCATCAATAAGTTTATCTCATCACCAATTCTGAAAAATAGAATTTCTCATATATCCACGTCAATGTGTATCTATAAAGTAAACTGGTCGTGTGGAGTCAACCATTTTAGGAAGATCTGTGAGAACCCTTTCACAACGTGCGAAAGAATTTCTATGGTTGGTAAAAAGAGTCATACTGGTCAAAATTATCATTTTACTATTATTATTTGTCCCGTGGGTTTCTAACGGAACATAGGGACCCAAGTAGCCCGTCTCCATTTCACTCTGTTTTCTGCAGCCTTTTGAACCTGGCTTCACGAAGGCCCATCACCTTTCATTTCTTCTTCACACGATCTCCTCCATGTCACCCTCGGATCCCCAACTCGTCGTTTTCCAAATCGGTTCCACTTGAGACTGGCCTGACGCGTTATGTCTCCAATCGGTCTTCTCAGTGTATGTCCAATCCAATCTATCTCCACTTTCTTCGTCTGTATATTTGTTGGGCGATGGGTCCTTGGTTGCTCAGTTACCAGGACAGAGTTTCTTCTTGCTGATTCTTATTCTTTCTGATCATCCGATCTTCAGCATCACGCGTAGGTAGCTGTTGATGAATCTCTGTAGTTTGCTGGAAATGCTTTTTCGTAACGCGCTAAGTTTCCCAACCATCACACAGAAGTACTGACTTGACGTTGATGTTTAAAGTCCGGATCTTGTTCTACATGCTGAGTACAGTAGATTTCCACACTGGTTTCAGGTTAATAAAGTCCTGTCTTGCTGCCTTTTCGATCTTGGCTTTGACGTCCTCATCTGTGCCGCCTGTAGTTGAAACGATACTGCTTAGGTAGGTAGGTACGTAGGTAGGTGAAAGAGACAACTTTCTTCAAGTTTCTCCCGCTCATGGTGATTGATGCTTGTTGTTGGTTGGGTATCTTCATCACTTGTCTTCTCTACATTCACCTGAAGTCTTCGCTGCATCTTCTATCGACTTTTTAGTTTTCGCCTATAGATCTTCGAGCTTGTGCGACATAAGACACTAGATATAAATCATCATGAACGAAATCCAAATCTTCTAGGGTCTTTTCATCCGTCTAGCCAATGTATGGCCCTCTTCTCGCTCCTCACAGTTTTTTCTTGCATGATCCAGTCGACCACAATCAGGAAGATAATCAGTGATAGCAGGCGGCAACCTTGTCTCACTCCTGTCTTCACTTCACTTCGGAATCATCACTGAGCTTCCCATTGTGAATCACTTCGCATGTGGCGTCGTTATATAGTTGTCGAATGAGGTTGATAAAAGGTTTGTGCTAGTCCGTAGTGTTGAAGCAGTTTCCAAATTACTTTTCGGTCGACGCTGTCGAAGGCCTTCTCAAAATCGACAAAGTTGAGGTAGAGATCCAACTGACTGACATTCTATGCTCTGTTCTATGATGATGCGTAGCGTAGGGTTTCACTTTGATCCGCACATAATTTGTTCTGCCCGAAGCCAGCCAGACTATTCCGGTCGTAATTTTGAACACAGGGCACCTTTAATCTCTCCAGGATGATGCGGCATATTTTGCTTGGGGTGGACAGAGGTGGGACATGATTCCGCGCCAGCTCTTGCAAACACTTAGGTCTTCATGCACTAGAGAGTGAGTGGTCTGAACCTACATCTGCCTCTCTTCTTGACCTGATCTTGTGTCCAGTAGGCTGCGTCCCCACTTTCTTCACATTGAGAGGAAGTCGATTTGATTTTTAGTGTCCCCATCCGGTGAAATCCATGTCACTTGCTTTGTGAATGTCCTTATGTTTGTACACAGCACCTCCAATCACCAAACCATTAGATGCGCAGAAATCCGCAAACAGTTCACCGTTCTCATTCATTTCACAAACGAGTGCTTCTCGACCCATGACGAGTCCCCTCCCTGTGTTGCCTGCTCCCCATCTGGCATTCACACCGCCAATTAAAATTTTGACATCGCCAACTAGTGTGGGGTCCTGTCCATTATTGATCGCAGTTGGCTGTAGAATTCCCCCTCTCCTCTTCATCTACACTATTTGTTGGCACGTAACATTGAACGATTGTGACTTTCCTTTCCTTTGAGTTGAATCTTGCCGTCATGACCCTGCAGGAGGAGACTGGTTCCCACCTCATGAGAGCCTTCGATGTTCTTCGAGACATCATGATAACCACTCCAAAACTCAGCGTGCTCGTGGTTGTCATCTGAGTGGCAATATCGGAGTAGATTATTGACTCTCCAGTTGACAGTTTGGAGAGTTCACTTCCATTCCATCTGCCTTCGCAGATTTCTGGCACTTCCATGCTATACCTTTTCATCTCTTTTGCAATCTACCAGTCAAAATGTTGACATCAAATGTGTTCTGTCAGACATCCACAAGATCGAATACTACAAGTAGTAAGAATTCACCTTCTTCAAACCTCTGAAGCTAACGAAATAAAAATCATGAAACCTGAGCTGTATGCATGTATGTGTAAAACATCTCAAACATTTTCTCATTCTTCGGTGGTCATCCTCAAAGATGGGATCTGCATATTTCAGATGAACAATGACTCAACTAACTTATTCATATTCTATATTATATCAATATGATTCAACGTGTTTTTTACAGCTGATTTACAAGTTTATAATTGGTGTGGTTGTTTTTAAATATGAAATATTGTGTTTGAAGGTAAAATCTGATAACACTAACAAAAATATGACCACTTAAATTCTTGTCTTTTCAATGCTGCGATGATAATATTCCATTTAATGAAGACTTGTAAGTTTTCAACAGCGATGAAGGAGCTGAACTAGTTTTTTTTATTATTACGCTAGAATCTCAAGCGTTAATGTTTCGTTGGAATTCGTCCACAATCGTATTGAAGCGAATTAATATCCTAAAATCTACTAGAAGCCACTATACAACGACCACTAGTCCGACCTCATGTGGAGACACTGAAGAGATCGGTTCCAGACAAAAATCATTTTATTAGTACCGTGAATTTTTTTCTTCGAAAACTTACCACAGAAACACTTAAAGTAATATGCACCCATAGTAAGAGTTAATCTCATTTTCCTGAGAGGTTTCAGTTCAATATACATAGAATCTTATAGGTAGCCAAGAATCAACAATGCGGTGATATAACATTGCATTTACAATTAATAATGAACCGAAATGAGGTTCTAACTTGACTCCAATGACTAAGTAATGGTGTAACTCATCTACCTGGTGCGAGTTTGTGTAATAAGCTGAGTCACACTTGTTGTTTCAGGGTTTACGATACTGCCTAGCTGACTACGTTTAAGTGGGGCGAGATTCCAACCCAGGAACCACCTTTTAAAAGTTCAACGTCAAGAGGTGGTTTAAAGACGGAAGCACCCTGAGGCTAACTAAAGGATTATAGAGTGAAATCTTGTTTCAATAGTTTCAATTTGCACAGCTATGTGGCATTATCAATACAACACGACAGGTGTAGTTTATGGTCTTGTAAGTAATTAGTTATTACGAGAATCTTGTTGTCTTCATCAATCCTAGTAATTAAAATTTCTTCCCAATAAAATTCATTCAGCTTATCATCCCAAAAACACACGTCATGAGCTATACTTATCTTAATAGATAGCAACAACAATACTACTCTGTTGCTAAAAACGAAAAAGATGGAGTATGCATCTAAAGTTACGCACTAATCGTAAAACATACCTGAGCGCATGTCCAGTTATTTTCCCAGTCCCATAAACGTATCAGCATATCATCTGAGCACGTTAAAATGAACGGTTGAGTAGGATGTACAGCTATAGATCGTATATAGTCTGAATGTGCCTCAAACTGTTGAATTCTTTCAAGAGTATTGTAATTGAAAACTCTTAGCTGAAAATGTGGCAAACAAAGCAAGCATAACATAACAGGCCGTTGGAGTTCAAATTACCATACATCTTTATAGTACAGAGAAATATGAAGACACAGAAACAACGAAGAAAACAAGAAATATGTGGATGTGAAATAACTAAAATCCTCATAAAATTCAAAATAAATTAGGTAATATTACCATGATGATTGAATTAGATTGTCTAAATAAGGAATCAAATGAGCAGTTGGATACCCTAATTTCTTGATTACTAGGAGGTATCACGACCCTTAACCTTGTTTACTATTTGAGAGGATAAAAGTCGAGACTTCATTTTACTGTTGAAGATTACTTGACTGGCTGCTAAACTTCATAATATCGATGATCGGCTGACTGTTCATTAAATTCTGAATTTTAGATCACAGTTATTTTATCTTGTAATTTATATGCAATATGATCAAGATTTGACCAGACAGTATTGAAAGTATCGAGCCCCGAATAAACACTCGACATTAAATATGGGTTATATTTGTAACAGTCAGAGATGGGGTGAAACCTTTAGTGATTGAAGTGAAATTAAGATCCGGTTGGTAATTGAATTTCTTAGTTCAGTTGGTAGAGCACAGGGTCAGTAACTCGGAGATCGCATGTTTCACTCATCCCATGACCTAGGTCTTCATTTCACCTTCAATCACAATCCGATATCAATAACAATTAATCATGACAACGTTCAGTAGCATAAAAATAAGAAAATAAGCAGGATACTATCTGTAGTTTTGTTCAGCACATGAGGATTATTTCAGACCATTTATGATAGTCACGTTTTCAGTGTTAGCGAGGAAATAACTGTCTACTGCTTCGTAGTCTTCAATGCTTCTCGCGTTAATGTCGATTCTATTTCAATTTTATGGTGGCTCTCGTGATTCAGTAGCCTAGTGGATAGTTCTCTGTTATTTGAAGCGACTGGTGCTTGGTACATTGAATCTTACTGAGAACACTATCGCTTATTGGGATGCTGGTGCATCTAACTTACGATTCAAAAATAGCGAAATGTTTTAGGTAAGACTTGTGAACCTTAGTCGATTGAGATGGTTTAGACATGTACTGCATATGCAGAGTAACCGTTAACATCGACGTGCCTTGCAAGGGGAAGCTGGATTGGGTTGAAAGAGGGTTCAGGGCGGCTAGACCTAGTTTTAATACTGGGCGATGATTTGAAGGAGGAATGAAAATTTGGACTACGGCAGGACTCGAACCAGCGACCACCTGATTTCCAGCCGGCTGCTCTATAAACTGAGCTACGAGGCCCGACTACTGATCAGATCTTTATTTCATTTCAACCACCAACGGTTTCGCCCGACTATCATGTGAATTCGTGACGCGTTACTACCGCTTGATCTTACTGTATTCACATTACAGTTTTAAACCGGAAGTTTTCTTTGCTTTTTGGATTTCGAATAGGAAGCATACACCTTCCCAAATAACAGAGAAATGTAGGCTTCTAGGTTTGCGTGACAACATAAACCAGTAGTTGGAGACTTTAGATAATATGGTTCAAGATCGATATCAGTGGTGCAGATGCATTCACACACTATCTTCATCTTAATCGTCATACTGAATTCAATATTTCCTTACTCTTCCTTTCTCTCTTTATTGCTTCCTACTGCTTTTGGTCAATTCTTTTCGATTTCTTTGTCTTTTATTACATTGCATTGTTGCTTGATGTGCTGATGAGGCGTGGCAAACTGAACTATTATGCAGTAATGACTGGTCCTACGTTGATGCTGAGATGACTGATAATATCGGTAGGAGACTTTTGCAACTGATCTGATATTTCTCAAGCTTATATGAAGCTTTCCCTATTCTAATCTTACCCCATGTGATACAGTACATAATGATCAGCAGCGGTTAGACGTGGGTAACATTTCAACTGCCTTATTTGATGAAGTCATACAAGTTAGGCTCCTTTATTTAATATTTGAAGCCTAACATCAGTACTATCTACTTAACACATTTTTCACGTCAGTGATGCTTTGAATGCAGTTGTAATAAAATACTTGCAACTTTCACATTACTTCCACCTTCAGAGATCATTTAACATTTTTATGGTGTGATAGTAACTTTCATTAGGGAGTGATCATCTTCAGTGGAGGAAATTAAACCAAGGTTCCAGATTGAAGATAAGGCTGGAGTAGGTCTTCTAAGTTATATAAATTCATGCGAAATACATAACTACTATAACTGTGACTGATAACGATACCAATGGGTTTCATTGTCAAGTGTTCACCAGACGGAATCAAACTAAACACCAACGGAATTTTTCGGATCCATCTACAAGAGTCGTAATATTTTGAAGAACAGACTGACAGAAAAATATATTGCCAATAAATCACATGAAGACAAAAGAGTTCACCAAAAAACTATGACAAAAACTAAGCAGAGATTCTACTGTATCCATAAACCTAGACAAACAGTAGTGAGACCGATATATTTCTTACTCATCACGTAGGAAAAAGGAATTAATTAGTTTTGTAGTTTAATATAATTTTAACCCGTGATACCAATCCAAACAAACTGTGACGAAACTACACATCCCAAATTATTCTCGAATATTTGGAGTTAGCTCTACTAACAGGAACTCTTACACATTACCAGAGCGTACAGTACTTGGAGTGTGCTGACGGATTCCCAAAGTGGGATAGTTTTCAAGTGTTTGGATGTATTGTTGATATTCTTCCTGTTTTGTTACGCAGTGCAGCACTTTGAAGTGATTCAACTGTGCAGTTTACGTTGCATGGAATATTACCCCTTGTTTCTGGGCTTCAAACCAAATAACTGTATGCTAAAGCCAGTAAGTCAGTCAACACTATGATAGTGTTTACCAAGAAAGCTAGCAACTAAACATAATTTGCAAGTTATGATACTTTTTGAATAGTATCCAGGAATGTTACAAAATAGAGGTAACAAGACAGCTGATAAGATTAAAAATCGAATGCAGCCCCGAAGACGCATTTATTATTATTTAAGATCCGGCATACATTTGTGCCACTGGTTCCGGTTTTGAGCCATACTGTCAAGTCTCCAACGATTAACTCCGATCACCTTGAGGACCAGTAGCTGCTACCTTGACGCGGTGGTCGGGTCTGCATATCGCAATGACCTAACAAATTACGCTGAGAGAACGCTGAGTGTGAAAGCAGTACTGAACAAGTACATAATGATAATCAAAGCTCTCTGTCTGGACTAGCGCGAGCATTTCAGCGTTTATGGACAGTTGTCTATAGTCTCGCTGACAACCAGTGATGTTCGTCACGGATGCCCATTGCAGATATCCTGATGGGCATAAGCCTACATACTTTCGACTTCTCACGGACTGACTCTCCTCCCTTCCAGAAGGGCAGGTGGTTGACCTGGAGTACGCACACGACATCCTGCCAGGCAAAGATGCTGACAAAATACAAGGTCTCCTGAACGCGTTGAGCAGAAACATGAGATTGCTTTGCATGTGTTTTGCATCTGTCAAATGTAGGGTGACACTAACGCTGGTATGCAGCTACTTGGTCTAAGAATGGAGTGAAGTGGTGCAATATGTTGACCACTACTTTTCGAGAGTCGCATCAGCCCAAACAGGTTGAGACAAAGTCTCAGCTTGAATACAGAACGCCACTTTGGCATTTGGCGGCTTCTATCATTTCTGGTGCCGACTGACGAGATACCCGATTACGTATCAAAGGGTACACTGCACAGCAGTTTGCTCCGTCCCGCTAAACAGCTGAGACATGGCTGCTGGAAACAGATATCGAACGCTGGTATCCTCATAGAACTGCCTACATACAAAAAGGTCACCGTTTGAGCAATATGCTTGCAAGACATGTCCAAGATAGTGAAGGTTGAGGGCTTCATTGAGTGACTTAAGTAAAGATGGTGAGTGAACAGTGGCTTTCAAGTGGAGGCAGATAAACAACTGACAGATGACCTATCGTTTACCACTCTCATCAGCCAACTGCAGCAGTTCAAGACGATAATGAGGATTTAATGACATGACGTCACATACTTGATAGCAATTTATCAATAAGACCTGTAGAACCCACACTTCACCTACGGAAATGATCATCTTAGAATACCTATCAAGGCAAGGATTGCGCTCGAATCTCAGTTACAGCTCCTCTCATACAGAACTGAAGGCTATAGGCCAATACATCTACTTTGGAGTGGTGGCATCAAGGTAAAAGATCCTCCAAACGTTATATGCTGGTGGTATAAAAAGTAGGTTTCTTCCTAGGTACACCTGTCCAGAACTTTAGTTACGCGAAACAAACTGTGATAAACATGGATGCGAGCATAGTTTTCAAGAGAGGAGAGTTTAATATTGACTGACAAAGTGTGTAAAAGACAAACTACGATGCATACACTTTCGAAAGTACTCGGAAATTTTAGTTACAAGCTCACCTGCATATCATCCGAGCCCGTTACAATCCAGTTTTTACGCGCTACGAATTTTACAGCGCGAACGGGAGAAGCACAGACTTCTAGGGTTTTTATCAACTGCTGAGCCTCAATGCTCCAAATATGAACGTTTCCATTGTATAATGCAGCACATATCCAGGGTTCCGTTGGATGCAAATCCACTGATTTCACTCTATCAGATCTTGATAGTAGTTTTCTTTTGATATCAAGCCTCATAGGCATCTTAATAATCTAACTCCAAAGCCAACAGACAAAAACAAAAATCTACACGTTGGATGCTGGTTGGAGTAGCGCGTTTCCAAAGCTAATACGGTTTATGTGTTTAAACAAGTCCAATACCTATACTTTTGCGTTTTGTCTTTGTAAACCGACTGGTTTTTTTCCCCAGCTCAGAGATTCTGCTGAACGGTTCCAAGTCTTCGGTGGATTCTGATGCAGTAGATCTACCCAGTCGCCTACTATAGTTCTGGTATACCTGATGAATGATTTGGCGTTGGTTAATATTGTATGGGTTGTATCGCTTATCCTAGAACTGTGAGGCACATGGCCTCTTGAAATGTCTCATCAGCAGGCAGCTGTTCAGGTGGATTGTAAGTGGGGAGGCCTCAAGAGTGAAAAGACGTCAAGCGGAAATGAGGAAGCGAGAATGACAAGAAGCGAGAGGAAAAGAAGAAGGAAAGGAAAGGAGGATCCTAGGTGGATTCTGGCAAAGTGGAGGGTGAAACCGTGATGAGAAGAACTTACTGGACTCAGATGGAGGGGGAGATGGCAAGCAAGGTTACAGGGGGAAAGATGGAAATCAACAGAAAAATGTTATTTTTAGGAGTAAGATAACTGTACGTGAGATGTCTAACAGAGAAGTACAAGGATAAGTCAAGTCCCGGAAGATGATGGAGGTAAAAAATGTTCCAGCTGCAAGCGAACGTGCTAGAATGATGGTGAAATAGTTGGCTGCGTTGATCTAGTCCATATCCCAGCTGGATGGGTGTGGTCTGTGTGGCTGTTCCAGCTGTTGACAGATGAGGCAGTAGGTATCTCGGCAAGAAATGGGTTGCAGTTGCCACACTGTCTTAGAGTGATGTGCACTGGACTCACTGCTAGGGCATTTTCGGAAATAGCGGTCACAATAATATCACATCTGTCGACAGACAAGACTGAGCTAGAGTAGTCGGAGTGGCCGTCAGCTTTCGACAGACCAGTCACAGGCAACTAACTCTCCTGAATTCTTAGCTGATGGAGGAACTGGTACTCCACCATGAGGTTTCACTTTGATATCATTTCTGAAAACTACCGTTCCGGACCTACCTAATGCTTGATCGCGAGCTACCTTTCATATTTCACACTGAACTGCATAAAAATAATGATTATTATTGTTATTTATTATTCTCTTAGATTCCCAGTGGAACATAGGGCTTCAGTAGAACACCTCCATTCCACTCTCTTCTCAACAGCCTTTTCAAACTGGCACCATCACTGCCCACAAGCTCCCATCTCTTCCTCACATGATCTCCTCCATGTCATCCACGCCTCGGACGCCCAACTCGTCGTTTCCCTTTCGAATACCACTCGAGAGACTGGTCTAGCCTGGTGCGTGATGTCCCCAGCCGGCCTTCTCAGTGTACACCCAATCCATCTCCACTCTCTTCTTATGCATATTTGTTGGATGACAGGTTATTGGTTGGTTTGCTGCAAGAGTTCCTTGTTGCGTAGTCTTTCTGGCCATCTGATCTTCATTATCCAGAGAGCGTGGAATGCAGCTGTCGATGAATATCTGTAGTTTGTTGGGAATGCTTTCACGACACGCCAAGTTTATGAACCATATAACAGTACTGACTTGACATTGGTATTAAAAATCCGGATTATGTTCACGCTTTGTGCTGAGTGCAGTAAATCTCCACACTGTTTTCAGATTAGTGAAAGCCTGTCTTGCCTTTCCAATCCCTGTTTTGACATTCTCGTCTGTGCCCGTTCTGCCGCCTGTAATTGAAACGATGCTGCCTGCCTAGGTAGGTAGGTAGGTAGGTAGGTAGGTAGGTAGGTAGGTAGGTAGGCAAGTGAGTGAGTGAAAGAGACTTCTTCCTTTAGGTTTCTCCCCTTCATGGTGATTCGTGCCTCTTGTTGTTGTTGGTTGGGTATCTTCATCACCTCCGTCTTCTCTACGTTCACTTAAAGTGTCGTCTTCGCTGCTCTGCCTCTTCCGTCAACTTCTTAGTCTTCACCTACAGACCTTCGAGTTCGCGTGACACTAGACATAAATCCGCATTCGCGAGATCTAAATCTTCTAGGGTCTCTTCATCGATCAAACAGTGTATGCCCATCTTCCCGCTCCTCACAGTTGTTTCTTGCATGATCCAGTGGACCGCAATCAGGAAGATGATCAGTAATAGTAGGCAGCAACCTTGTCTCACCTCTGTCTTCACTTCACCTCAGAGGCATCACTGAGCTTACCATTGTGTTGTGAATCACTTGGCATGTGACGTCGTCATATAGCTGTTGAATGAGGTTGATGAAGATTTGTGGCACTGAAGATGTAGTGTTGAGGCAACCGCCAAATTACTTGTCGGTCGACGCTGTCGAAGGTCTTTTCAAAGTCGATGAAGTTGAGTTAGAGAGTTGTCTGCCATTCTAAACTCCGTTCTATGATGATGTGTAGTGTTGCAATCTGATCCGCATGATCCGCACACGATTTGTTCTGCCCGAAGCCAGCCAGCCAGCCTATTCCGGTCGCAATTTTGAACACAGGGCACCTTTAATCTCTCCAGGATGATGCGACATAATATTTTGCTTGAGGTGGACAGAGGTGGGACATGATCCCTCACCAGCTCTTGCAAACACTTAGGTCTCCCTTCTTAGCAAGTTTGACGAGGTAGCCCCTCTTCTTTTAATCGGCAGGTATCTTTCCTTCCTTTCAAACCTTCTACAGTAGTGGTGTAAGCATGTCCGCTGTTGTCTCTGCATCTGTTTTCAGTCTTTCTGTTGGAATTCCATCTGGTCCTGCTGCTTTCCCGAATTTCAGCAGTTTTACGGCACTCGGGACTCCTGCTTTTGTCAGAGGGTTTGTGTTCACTGATAGTACTGTGGATCAGCTGCTGGTGGTACTTCTGGACTAGTTGCACGTCGTGGTGGTGGTTGTGGTCGATTCAAGAGTTTTCTGAAGTGGTCAGTCCATCGTTTCTTTTGTTTCTCCTCTTTGGTAACTACCTTTCCTTTACTATCTCTCATTGGTTTCATCTGATCTCTTCCCAGATAGTAATCTGGTTATTTGATATAATGTCGTCAGGTCTCTGTCCCACTAGCCTGCCGCCTGTTCTGCTTCACTTGCCAGTGCGTCGTAGAAGCGTCTTTTGTCTTTGCGCGCACTCTTCTTCACTTCTTTGTCCGGTGTAGTATTTTATACGTTGTACTCAGTTCTTATTTTCGTTGTGCATCCTTGCACTGGTTCATCTTCTGCTTCACAATCTTCCTCTCTTCTATCAGCTTCCATGTGTCCGTCGAGATCTATTCCTTGTCTTGTTTCCTCTTCCTTCCTAATACGGTTATGCTGGTTTCTTTCCACGTAGCTTTCGAAGAGTTCCAGTGTTCTTCCACGCGGGTTCCTTCAGGGATGTTGCTCAATGCCTCCCATTTTGTTCTGATGGTTTACTTGAAGGTGTCCTTTGTAGTTTTATCCTGTAGTTCCTGTTCTGGGTGTTCAGCTTGAACTGTGGTCTGTCACCAACTTCTTTGAAGGCTTTCAACTTGACTTGGATGGTTCCCTGCACTAGGCAGTGAGTGGTCTGAACCTACTTCTACCTCTCTTCTTGACCTGATCTTGTGTCCAGTAGGCTGCGTCCCCACTTTCTTCACATTGAGAGGAAGTCGATTTGATTTTTAGTGTCCCCATCCGGTGAAATCCATGTCACTTGCTTTGTGAATGTCCTTATGTTTGTACACAGCACCTCCAATCACCAAACCATTAGATGCGCAGAAATCCGCAAACAGTTCACCGTTCTCATTCATTTCACAAACGAGTGCTTCTCGACCCATGACGAGTCCCCTCCCTGTGTTGCCTGCTCCCCATCTGGCATTCACACCGCCAATTAAAATTTTGACATCGCCAACTAGTGTGGGGTCCTGTCCATTATTGATCGCAGTTGGCTGTAGAATTCCACCCTCTCCTCTTCATCTACACTATTTGTTGGCACGTAACATTGAACGATTGTGACTTTCCTTTCCTTTGAGTTGAATCTTGCCGTCATGACCCTGCAGGAGGAGACTGGTTCCCACCTCATGAGAGCCTTCGATGTTCTTCGAGACATCATGATAACCACTCCAAAACTCAGCGTGCTCGTGGTTGTCATCTGAGTGGCAATATCGGAGTAGATTATTGACTCTCCAGTTGACAGTTTGGAGAGTTCACTTCCATTCCATCTGCCTTCGCAGATTCTAAGCACTTCCGCGCCATATCTCCTCATCTCTTTCGTAATCTGGACAGTCTTGGTAGGTTCATACACGATGTGGACATTCCATGTCCCCATCCTTACTTTCGCTGTAATCGAGAGAAGAGAAGACACATCTGCCGACTGGCTTCCTGAGGGCTTTCACCAACCGGCGTCATTTAATCTCTCCGATTCCAGGGAGGAATAAATTCGTTTTTATGTTTTATATTTTCCTTGTGCTTTGAGGTTAATTTATCGACTGGATTGGTTGTACGGGGTGGGGTTGCTAGCCCTATGCTCAATCTTCCCTCCTTACCTGGGCTTATGACCAGTTGGCAGCTAGTGAACTAGTTGACCAGGCGAGGTTGACAAGCCAAAATAGTCCATGTGGGACGTCTGGGCTGGGACAAGTTTGGACTTTTATTCCTGAGTGTATGGGAGAAGACCCCAGAGCTCCCTTTTTGCTTTCCAGACCCTGGGGGGGCTTTAGACCGCGCTAATGCTCCTCGAGTCCGCGGTGGGTTTTTCCTTAATGACCACTTTTGTACCTTGAGTGTGCGCAGCGTCACATGTTCCAGGCGCATTCCAAGTGAATAGTATAACAAGAGAAGATACCACCTGTGCGGGCCTTATCCCAACCCACACGAGCCTATGGAACGCATGACAACAACAGGTAAACCAAGAGATAAACACTACAGGATTCAAGAAGGTTGTTAGCTGCCCGATGTACACAAACGAAATTAGCCGAATGTTAACATGATATTGGTACACACAGTACTTGTCAAGAAATTTGAACAAAGTTACAAAGATTATGCCATAGGTTCTTTGTCGGGTTTCTTGGTGTGTGTCAGCGCTGATGGGTTTGACACCATGGTCTCTG